TTTATGTTGGATCATTTCTTTTGGGCCACTTATCATGAAATTTACACACAATGTAAAGTTCAACAGACATTTTCAAATTATGCCAAAAACTGAAAAACGACAAACATAGAGATACAAGGTTTTGTTCTGACAGCATTGATATACAACACATCATCAATCTGAAGAACCATTTCACCATGCAGAGAACCATTTAAGCATGCAAATGGTTCTTTATGTGTTCATGGTTCTATCTAAAACCACTGCCTTTACTAAACAAGCCTTTTAGAGCTATCTTATTTTAAGAATGCACCTGAACTGCGAACTGATATGAACATACATAACTACTTATAATGCACAGCACTGTATGCTCTATGTATTCTAACAGAAAGAGTCCATTAGGATATTACTACGTTTCTCTAAAACACTACAACTAGACGGACTATAAGTCAGAAATGTGCATTTATATCTAAACAGACGTGGCTGGATACTGTCGACAAGCAAACATTAGGTCATTTTTGGTGATATTAGCTGGCTGACTCTGCTCATTTTGATCAACTGAGAGTCCGAGAGGAGTGTAACTACGAGGCTGAGGTCAGCTTCCTATTCGCCAGCTTCTTGTTCGAATTTCCCCGTTCCACCTTAAATGGTGCAGCAGGTCCATTCAGGCAAACGTTCGATTCATGCGCCTGAGTGTGACTGCTGCGCCATTTAAGGTGGAACGGGGAAATTCGAACGAGAAGCTGACATCACCTTCGTATTGTAGCTTAGCTGGCAAGCTAACTTAGCATAGCGACTGCTTTAAGCCAAGACAGTCTGTGTGCTCGGTTTAATGAGACAGTTTTCACGTGTACAATGAAAAATAACACAAAAATTAGTCGACAAATATGTTGCTGAAGTTAGAAGACGGTGGTAATGTCAGTAACGGACATTTGCAGAGGGCAGGCTAGCTGGTTAGCTTCACCAGCGCGACTGTTCAGCAGCGATAAACAGTCAACAACAACAAGACCAATTCACAGCAAACCAAACTGAAACTCACCTGTGCTGTGAGCCCTAACTCCTCGTTATCTTCTCGGCCGCTTAGCACACGGCGAAGTTTGTCCATGACTGAAGCGGTTTAGCTCGTATTTCACCAGCACTCTGACACTTCCTCAAACATTCACTGAGGAAATGTGACGGGTCACAGGAAGCCTGAGGCTGCGTCCCAAACCGCGCCCTACTACGCTTTACACACTACACTAAAGAGCGCGCTTCTAACGGTGGTGCACTATTTTCTCACACACTACTTAGTGCTGTAATATGCGGTTTGGGACGCAGCCTGAGAGTCGACCTGCAGCTCCAAATTCTCCAAATCCAGCTGTTCGTGCCAACGAGGAAAAAAAAAACAACATAAAAAACTAGACATAAAATAAGACTAAAATAGGATTATATATGCATACATTATATATACATATGTATATATTTAAGGGAAATTCCACCGAATATTGAAAATGTTCGTAAAACTAATTAAATCCTTGTAATGTAAACAATGTCATTTACAGCAAAGACTAATATGAAATAGCGCATTATAGAGAAAATGAACGTGTCAGAACTGTTCACAGTGGTGGTGATAGGAACCAGAAGAGTTTAACGGCTCTAAAAGCTACCTCATACAAAGCTATATAAAACATAAATACATAAAATTGTCATAAATACGCTGCCTGATGCCTGAGATAATGTTCTACGATAGCTTTGAAACAAGCTTTTGGTCTAAGACATTTTTCTTTAAACCCAGAGATACATGTAGGGCATTGTAAGGAAAAATAGGAATACACAAGATTATATATTTATTTATTTCTATTATTAACATTGCATATTAAAACTCAGAAGGCACTTTTAGGTTCACTGATCGTTGTGGATGGTAAATAAAATGGCTGTATTTGTGTTTGCAGCCCCTGGGTCCTATCACCACCACTGTAAAGAATTTTAAATCTGTACACTTCTCCACCACTACGAGTTGGATCTCTGGGTGCCAGGTGACAGGCGGAAGCCACACCACAGCCACATAGCGGCCGCTTTTATTAGCGGCCGCCATTGATCATCTCTTGCCTTTTGAAGAGAATTTCTATCTTTTGAAATGAATTTGTGCTCCAGTATCTTAATTGTAAATGTTGGTAAATGGACCTTTAACTGGACAAAAGCAAGTGTTGTAGATATTGATACATTCTGAAAATGTAGTTTCTATGCTTGCGACCTTTCTTATAAATTAAGAGTCCTAGTTTTTTGCACTTCCGTTCCTACTTTCTTTCTTCTTTTGCTGTAATTGTTTTGGTAATCTGCTAATAAATGTGGCCGTGATGTGGCCGCTTCCTGCTGCTCTCGGAATGTTGAAAATTCGGTGGCGTTCCTCTTAAAAGTACACTCTCAGAAATAAATGTACTAAACTGTCACTGGGACCTCTATTATCACTGGGGTGGGACCCTCAGTCAGGGAACATAACTGAACCATAATCCACTGAAATGATATTTTCTAAGCTGTACTGACTCCACACACCCCGTCTCGCCTCCAGGCTTTTATTTTACTGTTCTGTTTTAAAACTTTAGGTTATGAAAAAGTACAAATATGAACTTTTCACCTGGAAAAACTTATTTAATCAGACCTAAAAACCACTGTTTGTACTTTGAGGGAACATTTATATTGTTTTTACCTTGATAAATGAAAAATGTACCTGCACAGCACCTTTATTTCTAACAATGTACTTTGGAGACCTTTTGACGTGAGAGGCTTACAACATATTTTAACCTATTCTTCAAAAATGAATGCTGGATTCGTCAAACTACCCACAGTTTTTCAGAATAGAAACAATGTTTTTTTGTTTTGTTAGAGGGATCCTTTACATATTATAGGCAGCAATATCATTGAGTAATATAGATTAACACGGGTATTTGTGTGGCCGTAAAATGAGCTGATGAAGTATACTCAGTCAGTCACTCATAAAGTGAAGTAATTAAGTTTATTTAATTTAAGGAAGTGTATAAAGTGGAGTTTACACCGTTTAGAAATGTGAACAGTCCACTTGATTATACACCAGCGCGGTGCGCTCAGTCAGGCCGCTCTGACTGATGATCCAGTTCATCATCGAGGCAGCACCAAAACTCGTATGTAGAGGGAGACAGAGCGCAGCTGTGCCTCTCGCAGCTGTGAGTCAGATTCAGTGGGATTATTAAATATGACGCAGACTACTTAAAATTAGAAAAAAATTAAAACCTTATGTAACTCTGAAACCTAACAGCCATCTGCTTTTAACCGTATTAGACCTTATCTGGTATAAAGCTTTGTTTTCTTTCAGTTCATGAAATGAGCTTTTGCAACGAGAACAGTAACTGTGATATATTTTGTAAAAATTATATAAGCATCATAGTTTGACACCCTGTAGTTAAAATAAAGGGGATGTAAATAAAGCATAGTTAATAATAAAAACAAATATTATCACAAGAAGATATTCCAAGCCAAGTTAATGGTTGGCTTTTTTGAAAATATGCACTGTTGAGGTAAAAAAAAAGACTCATTAAATGAAAATTTTCATTAAGATAAACTCAGACAGTATATTTTTCAAGCGGTTTATTTATAAATGGTTGGCATGCAAGCCAATACAAAGCAAAACAGCAACATGGATCTCCAAGCAGTCCTGCTCGTTGTGTTTGAAATCATTGTAGGTTGATCATGTTTCTGTTCCTGATACATTAGGTTACTGGTTTTAGTCTGCAGGTCGGTGCACTGATTTCTGGGCAGCCTACACTTAAGAGAACAAATCTAAAGCAATTTCTCCCACATAAAAAACAAGCCGCGACCGAGGCCTTAGGAAACACGCAGCAGAATCTCATCCTGTCAAGCTTCGTTTTGAAAAAGGAATTTCACAGTGGTACAAAAATATTCTGTTTCCTGTGTTGACTGTGCATATTATACAAAATCATTGTTTCTCTGCACCCCTATCATGACGTTTGTTTTGAGAGACTGCTACAAATCCAAGTAAAGTACACTGGGATTTCCTAAATGTAATGAATAAACTAGGAGAGCAAGTTTGACATCATTATGTTGCCATTAAAGCTGTGCTTTCATGTGTTTTTAAATTAAAGCATGAAGCCCACTGTTAAATAGGATGTGTGAATTTGCCTTATCTTACATATTCTGTACAGTAATCTTAATGTTAGATGTGCAACCTGAAATAAATGCAGTGCATAAATAGCGTTTTGTATTGTGTAGCGTTAACGTATGTATACGTGTGTGTGTGTGTGTGTGTGTAAACACACATATATATATCACCATTGTCGGAAGAAAATCTCATATCTCCAAAATGCTAACTTTACAGGAGAAGGAAAAACATACTTTACTTTTAATGTAAGTCAATGGAACCAGACTTTTTTCCAAGTCATTTTGGGTCATTTCTTTTGGTCCATTCTTCATTAAATTTACACACAATGTAAAAGGAAATAGATATTTTCAAATTATCTCAAAAACTGAAAAATTACAAAAATGGAGATCTGACAGCAGCGATTTATATAATATATATATATATATATATATATATATATATATATATATATATATATATATATACACACATATGTGTGTGTGTGTGTGTGCGTGTGCACCTGGCCTTTCTAAGATTTTAAAATTTAAATCATACATCGCATGTACCATAGGCTTCTAACGATAATGTTCAGATGGCTATGCCTTTGTCCATTTTTTTACATTCTCTACTCGTACTCTGCCCACATTCTGCATATTCTTCATGCTGTTTATTAAAAACTGTCAGCAAAAGTTAGTGCAAAGCTGTGGCACTTATTTACAAACTTTCCCATCAAGCAAAACCTTATGAAGTGCACTTCAAATAAAATAAATATTTTTATGGTGTCTTATACAAAATAAATATAAATAAATAAATTCTAATGAACGAATAAATAAAACAACAAAAATAAAGCAAAACACTATTGACCTAATTAGAATAAAATATGAGAAATATTATCTTCAGGAATGAATGAATAAATAAATAAATAGGTGAATAAATAAATAAATAAGTGCACAAATGAAAGCATCTTTTTTAAAAAAATAATTCTTGTTTTGCATAAAGAGCTAGCAATAAGCTAAATGATCTCTACATGGCAGGAGACCACAACTGAGGAAAACAAAATAAGCCAATAAGTCAAAGGAAAAAGAGACGGTTGATGAAGAAGCCACATAATAAAAAGAGGACTACACAGTAAGGGTGAACCATGTTTCACAACTTTCAAAATGTTCACTGCGCTTCCTGCGGCAAGTGAGAAGTATGTACACCAATTCCTTTTTTCATTCATAAAGTCACTTACATCGCATGCATGTTGTTTGTATTGTCAAAAAAAGTCAATAATGCTGGTAATTTCTGCTCAAGAGGTTCATTGTTAGTATGTTAATTACGTTTCACCACGTGAATTGCTGCTACTTCTCTTTCGGTCCGCCAGATTTGTGTTTAATTGGACGCCGACATGAGCCAGGGTCATAAAATCAACCAATTTACTCAAAAATCTTGCTCACCAAACCATACAACATATATGTGGGTGTACGCTTGAATGGCAGCGGTTTCACCCCAGCTGTTGAACATAGCTTAGTTAGCGTGCAGCAAGCAGTGAAGGCCTTGACAGACCAGGTTTCTGACCAACCTACGATTTGTGCTCTTGGTTAGTGACATAAACTTCTTCTAAACTTCTTGCTCCATCACTATGATGCACAGGTTAAGTGCCTTTCCTTCACAAAGTTAGACCTACACCTGACAGCAGTGACACAAAGAAATCCAGCAGGAGCTCTAGATCTAATATTAATGACCTCAGCATTAATATTAGCAGCTATCTGCCTCTGAGCTTCCAGAAGCTGTGTGTGTGGAGTCAAATCCGTTGTGAAATTCTGCCGTTGCTCAGCCTCAGTGGACACGTTGTTTGCTCTGCTTTCTGCTCTGGGGGTCCGCCTGCTTCCTTCTCCAAGGCCGGGCTCTCGGATATCTTCACAGCTCGTAGGGGACGCTGTTTGTGGATGGCGAGCTACAGGCAAGTGGATGTCAGTCTCTTCATGCCTCTCCTCTGAGCCAGACAGGATGCGAGGACAGGCTCAAGCTTCGGAGCCTGTGGCGTTCGGTTGAGAGCCGAGTACGTGGCAGCCATCGCCCCCTAGGAGGTCAAACAATACACTGCTGAAGAGCTCATCTGTCACAGTGGTTAAATCACTTCACACTGGCCTTATGTATAACGTGACAAGTCCAAACTTGGTGGCTTAGTTTTACTTGTAGAGGTACTTTTATTTCAGTGAGATCTGTGATTTTATTATGAATTCAGAGGTTGTAAGTATGACTTGATTTGTGTTCAAGTGGTTTTGGTTGGGAATGAGATGGATACCCTGGAAATAATGTTTCTGGATTTTTTTGTTTTTCTGTCATGAAAGACAGTCTGTGTGTTTTGCATTACTGCAGCAAAGTGAAGAGCAGAGGATGCTTAGAGAAGAGTAATGTTTTTTTTATGCAGTTTGATGTGTCACATAACGTGCTTATATACATGTTTCCATGTGTGGATGGTTTTAGCCTGCAGTGTTAAGGTTGTGGCTGATTAATAACTGAAATACAGCCAGTTTATCAGCGGTTATCATTGCTTTTTTGTTGACTCGGAAACTCGGGGCTCACTGAAAAATCCAAGTTTCCCACTAGTAAATACGACATTGTGGTGGCATTCCTGTGCATTCATCTCATAAATCCGATATTTTCGACAGGACTTGAAGGCAGCATTTGTCCAATATGAACTGGCAATATCTGTCTGACATTAAAGACCTCCTGCACATATCAGCTTATGTTGTGTTCTACTTGGCTTGGAAATGAGAAGTCAGAGCTTAGAATTAAGTTATTTTCAACTTCTGCGCGTTTGTGCTACAAAGTGGGGAAAAACACAGATGGCTCCATGAAAGCAAGGACTGTTAGCGACAAGCTAGCCACCTAACATTAGTGATTTATGTTAACGTTCATCTACATTCTCAAAACTGCAAACTTCATCATCACTGTTATAAATTTACAGTGATACAGATTTAGAACAACTCTCTGTATATTGGCTGATCTAAAGCAAATCTCATTTAAAAGTAGAGAAATGATTCTTTCTGACTATTGACGATGAGAGCAGCCACGTTGATTCAACGTCACACCCTGATCTGGGAGTTGAGAATATCATCCCGACATTCTGAGTAGGAATTCCCAGTTGAGGGCGACCTTTCATCTTTCTTAGTCGGAAGTCAGAGTTTCGGTCGAACGCAGCAGCCACAAATAAGCGAAACTATCACTGTCCTAAAACATACTAAAATGTGCTAATAAGAAGATTATGACACGGCAACTTGCAGCTAAAGAAGAACGTAAAGTTGAGCAGTTTGCAGTTTGTTAAATAGATTAAAAAATGGTGTATTTTTGACGTTGTCAAATTTATATTCCACTCTTTCTGTCAAATATGGTGTATAAGTTAGAACTGTTAGTGTCCTGGCCTGGCTAAGTTAGCGATGTAGTAGCAGGTAGTGCTAGCTTAGCAAATAGCCAGATTCACACACCACAGCACAGGTTTCATTCCTGCAAAAAGCCTCACTGACACATATTTAGACATTTGCAGGAGCGAAACTTTGCTGTTGCATGTGGAGCTGTTAGCTAAGCTACTCTTGCTTCACTTTACTGACGTTGTTAACAAAAGAGGCTGTGTTAGCTTAGCTGGCAGGCAAAGAGAGCATCACACACCACAACACAGGATCACCAATGCTTCACTGACACAAGTTTAGAGGAATGAGTGATTGGCTGGTGATGGAGTGACGGAAAGACACAATCTAACCTACTGTGGTGTGTTGAGCTAAGTTATTAGCCTGCCAAGCTAGTGCTAGCAAAGCCAACTCCACTGTATTCTCTGCTTAACATTTAGCATTTGTTGTTGATTTTGATGGTTGACCACTTTCTGGCAGGTCAGTTGTGAAGCTTAGGCTTATTTGCTGTTTCTGCTCTACTCGCTCAATTCCCAATCTTGCGTCTTGCTCGTAGGACAGTGGGGGAAAGAGGCAGAGTTTGGAAAGTAGGAGGCAATTTGCATAGCCGTGCATATTTTTGTATCCTTAATTATCGTAAAGGTTTAGGAACGCTCCTCCTTTTAGTAGCTTCATGGGCATAACAATAATAATATAATAATAAAAGAAATATTTGACAAATTATGACTCAACATTTTTAGATGCACTTTGATAATTCCAGAGTGAATGACCTTCTGTAATAGGCTGCACCCAGAGCTCTATTAATAATTGTAATACTTCTGAAATTAAACTGATGTAACTGGTGTAATAACTAATCTTTCAAGTCATGGCCTTTTTTACAGATATGTTATCCTGTATGAATCTGCTAGTCCATGAATGTCCAATCTTACCCACAAAGGGCTGGTGTGGTCGCTGGTTTCATTTCTATACAGCAGGGATACATTGGATTTTTTTCCTCTTGTTTTATCAGTTAGTGTTCGAAGAACTGGTCACTGACGCACCTGCATTGTTGTAATGAAAGTCTGCAGCCGCACTGACCCTTGGCGAGTAAGTCTGGACAGTCTTCGACTAGTCCGTTACAAATTCCGTTACACAACCTCAACTGGTAAAACTAAGCCTCTACCTAAGACCTTTACATACTGATGCAATCTTTCAGACAACCAGGTGGAGGCGATATTGTATCTTATCACATTACAAAGGACAAACAAATTTACAATAGGAGTGTCAAGACTTGTCCTGAAGGGCTACAGCACTGCAGAGTTCAGCATTCTGCCTTTATTAACACATCAGACTCAACTCATCAGCTCTATAGACTTGTGTTGACTATTAGAAGAGGAAGGACACGAATCTGTGCAGGCTTGGGGACCCTTAGGACAAGAGCCTGACCCCCCTCCAATAAGGCAAAGGTTTGTATAAAGATGTAATGTTGGGCAGCCTTGATAAAATCTACCTTGACCAACTGCGCGTCCTGGCGAACGAGGTGACTCTGAGATAACTGATCTCGATTTACGATCCAGGGGTGGCGGAGAACCAGAGGGGCGGTCAGCCTCTGGTGAGGGTCAACGTGCAGCATTTTAGTCACAATATCCTGCGAAAACAGAGTTTACAGAGGATTGTTTTTATGTGAGATCATACCACAGTAATTCCAACAATTACATGAGTCATGCGGTTATGGAATGTACCTCCAAATGAGGAATGAACACAGGTAACTTTAATTTGAGGTGCCAGTATCCAAATAATGAAATCACTACTCAGGTATTTGTTGTGTTTCATCACCGAAAGATGGAGAAAATATGCATATATGCTGATTTTATGTTTTAACACAACTATAAAACTGAATTTGCTTATATTTGCAACTAAGTATGTTTTGTTATGCTTTGCTGCTCTGCAAGCAAGCACCTTAACACCGCCGTGTTGCCAAGGACATGCTGATAAGGACGTGACTGAGAAGGTAGAGATGGTGTGTCTTTTATTGCTTAACAGGATAGGCTGATGTTAAGCCCAGAAGCCAGTTAAAATATATTTCTCTGACAAACTAATGATGCCACATTATCCGCTAAAGAGGTAAATAACACCTGTATGAGTCTCCATCAGCATCCAGTGTTACCAGTTAAGCTGTAGCTTGAGCTCATTATAAGGCTACCTTATCAGAGCCAGAATCCATTGTTACTCATCCAACATGTAAACCCACCAACATCCATCAGCGCTTTATGTTTTGCTCCGCATGATGATACATTTTTGTGCAACAACAGTCACCTAAAAAGGTAAGCTAACGCTCTGCACTCACTTTCATCCATAACAAAGATCGTATTTAAGGTAAACCAAGGCAGTGCATGCCTATTTAAGTCAATGCAATGAAAAGTGATGCAGTTCCTGTCTGCTTAAGTCTGGTGTCATCCACTTCGCCCCTCCTCGTCTCCCAGGGCAACAATAGCAGACTGTGCAGAAGGACGTGAACAAACCCAAAACAAGACACATTTTTCTTGTTTGGGCTCAAACAGTCTCAAATTGCCAAAATAGTCACAAGACCCTAGCAATCAAAAAATGGCCACAAGTTTGCCATAAAGGGGAAAAAGTAATTACTAAAGTTTGGTGAAGTGGGCACAATTTTCTGATAGACTTGATTATCTGTTGCCTGCATAAGGGGGAATGAGTGCACTTTCCCCCTCTCCAAAACCACGTGCGCAGAAATATTTTTAACTTGCTTCTTGAATCCTCTACGACCAAAAACTTTTTTTTCCTGCTCCACAGTTAAGCATTCATGAACCAATACATGAATATCAAAATTAGATGGAGTTACTCCATATTTGACCAAATGTTTTCTCATGAACACAGACGAGAGTGCTCTAACCTTAGCAGCGTCAGACACTGTATCCCAGTTCCCGCCAGATAAGACATATTTGCCACTGCCGATTCGGGCCAAGATCTCTTCCGGGGTGTCATCTGGCCCGTTGGCGAAGGGTGTGAACCTGTCGGGAGAGAGTGTGTGAAAGGTTGAGAAGGCAAAATTACATTCGCTTGAGTCTTACTGGCAAAACAAAGCAAGAGAGATCACAGAAAACACTCTATTTCCTTTTTTTTTTCCTTTCCATTATGTTAAAACCTTTCTAGGTGCTATATTTAGCCGCCGCATGTGGCCAGGTTAAACGAGATGAAATACGGCTTTTCAGATGTCCTGATTACACGGAGATTTAAAGCTCAACAAACGGACAGGAACATTAAATTGTTTTGCGTGGCTCGATTCCCGATAGCACAGTTACTCTGTGTGCCGGCCGCTGATGTGACCCAGGTTCACCCTGTAATCCCTGCGACCCTTCAGAAATTAGTCCTTGTACGAGCGGCGGTGGGAGGGAGATAGCTTCTGAATAGTGTTCTCACTTGTTTGTACCACAGGGAGATGGGTCAGCGGCAGATTTCATCTAAAGTATGGACAGGTGTTGCATGAACGGCTTTGCGGCTGTATCACTCCCACAAGGCCAAGCTGTCGACTCGAGGGAGCATATTTCAAATATCTGTGCTATGGAAGTCTGCAGCACTACAGATTTCACCAGTTGTTTTAACTTCGGTCATAAGCCTTAACAGACTGAAACACATCTGTGCAATCTGGGTAGATCAGCGCTCAAAGTTACAAGGAATATCTATGGGGAATTAAAGCGGAACTCCACCGATTCTTCAGAAATACATCTCGCTGAGATGTAAACAAAGTCATTCAGAGTGGTTTGATGTGAAATGGTGCACTGTAGAGAAACTTACTGACTCAGATTTCTTTACAGTGGTGGTGATAGAAACCAGGGGTCGCCATGACTACAACACAGATATAGCCATTTTATTTACTATTCAAAGCCACAGTGACTCTATACGTGTCTTCTGTGGTTTTATGTCTTAGTCATCAGGCAGTGTATTCATAACCATTTTATGTAATAACTTTCTGTGGAGCTTTTAGAGCCATTCAACTCTTCAAACGTCCGGTTCCAACCACCAGCACACCATTCTCTAGAATGGAACATTTCCCATTAAACCACTCTGTTTACATCTTAACTACTGGTGATATTTTGAAAAATGGGTGGAATTCCCCTTTAACAGTAATATGGAATTAATTTAGAAAATTTAACGATAATGATAATGATCAGTTTCAATATGATCAGCCAAACTGGAACACTGAACTAAACACTGAACTTCCTTTCTTTACGCTGGTGGAAAAGACAGAAAGTTCACATTAAATGCCTGAATGCGTCTGCAGTAGCGCTTTCAGTGCGAGAACAACAGAACCGGCATCAACCTATAAACAAACCTGAATAAAGCAAAATGAACTCTCTCCTGCATTTATAACAGCAGCTGTGAGACTGAGCAAAGCATATAAATAGTCATAAAAAGCACCTGCATTTTAATAATAATAGAGCTGAAACTAAAATTCATGCTCCACTTCACAGTGGCTTACACGCTTCCCTCAGGGATGAGCTCTTTTCTAAAATGTCCAACCTCAGTGAGTAGCCAGTCTTGAATACGTTAATGGGGAAGCTCATGTAACGCCTGTGCGAAAGCCTGCAATGCTGCAATAGTGTTTGTCTTACTGGGGCCTAGACTTGTGATATAAATATGTATTGCATCACCTTTTCCACACACTTACTCAGTGCTATGGTATTTTATATCTTCGTATCCAGTTCTATTGGTGTGCTACCTGAAGAACCACAAGGTTTAGAGTTTTTCCTGATCCTGATTCAGTGATTCGACTCAGGAAGGGATTAATAACGAGTCAATGAGGTGACTCAGGTATGTTCAAGTAGGGAGGACACCTAATCCTGAGGTGTTGTGAAGCTGATAATTACATCAGGATGCATTTCTTTACATCAGTACATCGTCATCTTTGTCAGTAGTTCAAGAACATTAAACAGCTGATCATGAAAAAGACAAATTTAGATGAATTATAGACAGCCTGTAAACAGCAACAATAACCAGTGTATAGCAACAGTAGTAACTGCATAGTAACAAGCAGCTGATTGGATGTCAGACTATTATGCCACTAAAAGGGATGCACTAATCATGTATATCGGAACAAAACCTCGTATCTCCATTTTTTGTTGTTTTTCAGTTTTTGGCATAATTTGAAAATGTCTGTTGCCCTTTACATTGTATGTAAATTTCATGACAAATGGACCAAAAGAAAAAACAAAACGGCCCAAAATGACTTGGAAAAAAGTCTGGTTCCATTGACTTACATTAAAAGTGAAGTATGTTTTTTGCTTCTCCTGTAAAGTTACTATTTTGGAGATACAAGGTTTTGTTCAGACAGCAGCGATATTTATAGCCAATTGGTGTATCGTTGATTGTGTGGCCGACTGAACATTGAATGAACATTTTCAGTACTTTCTATTAGCCAAAGGCACAATGTAAATAACATTATCTGCTCTTTAATGGGAATTTTAAGTTCTCAAATGAAAAATCATTGCCTATTTAAATAACATGAATCAAATACAGGGCTAAAAAAGTAAAAGGTGACTGGCTATTTAGTTCAATGACTAATGCATAATTATGCTATTTTAAGATAATTATGATAATTACGATAATTACAATATTTTGGTTCATTTGTGGCAGTAGAATTAAAATACAGCGCGAGTGCTCTTACCTGCCTCACATTATTTACCTCATAAAACTGCAACACAGATGAGTCAAAATCAGAATATCAAATCGAATGAATGCTGAGTATGAGTTTGGAGTAAAAGTCTGCAGATTCTGGTCTTGGTTGATTGCAGTCTTATAATTTATTTTTATTAACTGTTGGATTTTTCCTCCTGTCCCGTCTTCAACAGTTTATTTTTGCAAACCATGATTACATACATACAATTGTATAGAATTCTGTAAATTTAGTTTTTCAAAGCCTTATTTTAAGTCTTACATTACTGTTTGACTGGTGCTTTTTGCCCATTTCAAACAAACCTCAGAAAAAAACATACTGCGGCGTATATTGTGTATCATGAAAACATCACTTAATGTTGTGATGCTATATATCTGCCATATCACTCATGAACACAGTTAGACACATGTAGTGTACCGTACATTTGTTTTAGTTTTGTGTTTTATATTTTGTCATAACATTGTTTGGAGTGACATTTTAAAAGGCACACTGACATTCATGAGCGTGTTAGTGTGAGAGGGTGTGGAGACCAGGTCACTCACCCTGCGAGCATGGTATACAGTAAGATTCCCAGACTCCAGATATCACAGGCAGCATCGTATCCCTGCTTCTTCAGAACCTGCAGCAGATACAGGCTATTTGGGTCACATCACAGCATGTCATGGCATAACGAGAGTCAAATACTACTTTCAGTGGTCTTATGTCTCTGTTCTGTATTCAATGATAGAAACAAAAGGAAGCTAATACTGGCTAGAGGTGTGTTTTTTAATCAGCACTTGGACTGGTGTTGTGTTGAGTTTTGGCACATTATATTCCAAATGTATTCCAGTATCATAGCATAAGATGGTATTTAAGCTTAAATTTAAAAAGTTAATGAACCCATGCTTAATGGTGCCACTCTATGGTCACAGAGTGTCTCAGAGATTGTTCTGATTGGACTGTTTTATTCTGCTCTGCTTCTCTTAAAACTGCACCAAAGGGAAACTTGCACAGTGTAATAAATACTAACTAGACATAACTTTACGATGACGATAACGTTACAATGTATTTTCAATTGTTAATTGTTCAAAGCAACCAGAAGCACCCAACAAAATACATACTTAAGCAATAGAACACGAGAGGGAGTGTGTTATCATGAAATAACATGATGTTATTCGCGATAACACACAAATCTGAGTGTTCTATTGCTTTTATACAACAGCTAATAAATAAATAAATGTATATAAATATATATAAAAAATAAATAAATAAATAAACTGGGTCGTGAACGCGGCGTTTAATATGCTTTAATGTTCGCAGTTCCTTCCACCAAATTATAGTTCCTTAACAAGCAGCTTGTTGTTCCGTCAGAGCAACAAACTCCGCTCACTCGCTGCACAGTCTGCTGTAAGCCTCGCCTTTTGAAGTACTGAGCCATTAAACTGCCGCAATATCAAGTTTAGCTCAGTTTTGTCATTTTTGCCAGATCAATATTGATGTTGTTTTATTCCAGCCAGTCTGTAAAGCATCTTACAGCCCATTTAGTTTGGCGAATGGTGTTGGGTTCATTTCTGGCTGATTCCAGGTTGTTTAGCTGTTCTTCTGTCACAGCTGCCGACTGAAAAGCTACTCAGTGGTGATGACAGTTTGGGAATTTAGTGTAGTCTCATCTTCAGAGTCGGACCAAATCGGCTAACGGTCAAATGTGATCTTAAAAGTATCCATTTTCTGTTTGTGGCAAAGTAAGAAGTAAAACTGTCCAAATGGCGTGAGCGTCTCCTACAGCATGTTAAACTCATTGCTTAGCAACGGCGTCTCAGTGGAGTGATACAGTGTTTGTGAAAAAAACGTGATGTTATGGCGAAATCAGCTTGCGTGACCGGAACTAACTGTTGTATAAATTACAGTAAACTACATTTTTGTGTCTATCAACACTGCTAAAGCTAAATATTAATACTGTTGCGTAATGACGCCCAGCACTACTTGACAGTTATATTTGACTGTGCTGCTTTCTTCTTTTTTGGTCTTGAAGGTTTTATGCCTTCTTTCTGGCTGTTATATAAAGACCCTGCTGGACGTCCACTAAAAAAACAGTCATAGAAAGAATTTAGAATGTTTCAATACCTCCGGTGCTACGAAGTTGGCAGTGTAGCAGGGGGTCATAAGGAGGCCGTTTTCAGCTCGGAGCTGTTTGGCAAAGCCGAAGTCGCAGATCCTGATGGACTCTGGGTCTCCCGTCTCATCCACATACAGGATATTGCTAGGCTTTAGGTCTCGATGTACGACCTTGGCAGGAAGGTAAAGCCACAGTGATGGTCATTAAATGAAATACTGTGATGCAACACATGCATGTATACAGTTTTTTAATACTTCACCAGCTAGTCGTGAAATGCTCACACTAATTCAGTAAGACATCATTTCACAAAGAGTGCAAACAATATTTGATGTTGCCATATCTCTACTGAACAAATGCTTCAAACAGTCAATGTCATTAATGGAAAAAGTATGTGAACTTCTAGGATAATGACCGCTTCAAATGTCAATTCGGGGTAGGTTTGAGCTGCCGCATCATATAACAATAACACCCCAGCTATTTACAAGAGGAATCAGTTCAAGTGGAATATGGGCCAATCAATAGAGAGTTCAAAGGATCTCAGAAGTAAAGCTGTTGATGCTCATAATGCTGTAAAGAGTTACAGTAAACAAAATAAATAAATAAAATCTGGACTCTTATCAGTCCACGGTCAGGCAGATAGTGTACAAATGGAAGAAATTCAGCACGATTGCTACTCTTCTCAGGAGTGGGTGTCCTACAAAAGATCAGTGCAACAGCTCGAAGAAGAATCCTCTGATATCCAATAGGCTAAAAGTAAGAGGAATGTTTATATAACCGATAGCTTAGATGAAAGAAACGTGTTCAGTTTCAGCTCTGTGCACAGAACAGAGCCCCTTAATAGGTTTTATGTGTGTGGATCTACATAGGGGTAATTTTTTATCTTTTAAAGGGCCCATATCTTGCATATTCGTGGATTTTATTTTTCCCCATGAGGGCCACTTATAACAATAGTGTGGTTTTATATGCCAAAAACAGTCCTGCTTCATTTTTACTTCAACATTTTCCAACCTCTTTTTATCCCTTTATTAAGCAGGATGTTTTCGTTACTGTCCCTTTAAGACTGATTTGTGTAAATGAGCTCTGTTCTGATTGGCTGCCCTGCACTGTTCCTCTCTCAAAAAGTGGTCCAGGCTGAAACACTCCTTATACATTCAGTATAAGTGGCTTTTAGTGACATCACAAAAAACAGGCTGTTTTTCTTAGTTTTCATATATAGACTGAATGGACTAGAAGTGAATGGTATGTATGAGTGAATGGAAAAATCAGTTTTCCAAATTATGGGCCCTTTTCCAGTTTTCAGTTTTGGAAACTGTTTCTTCACTTATTTTCCTTTGACTTTCTTCTTCCTTATGCAAGTGGATTATCTTCTATCTAATCTCCTCAGCAGTATCTTCCTTAGCCACCTTACATGCACATGAGAAAGAAATACGGGAGGCAGCTGAGGTGAGTTGCTGGTGTGAATGTTATTGTCTATTTGAAGGGAATCATAATGACAAAAGCAAAGAGTGGACCAATTAAACACTGACAGATTTGGTATTATATTTAGTGTTGGAGGCTTTTGTGTAATTTTTGTTAAATATGTTTCCAGCTTTTTTGACACTGAAAAATGAAAAGCTTTATGGCCATTTTGACTAGAAATTAAATAAATGAATAGGTGGACTTTTGCACAGTGCTCCACATGGCCAATAAAGTTTGATTCTGACATGTATGTGAAATAGAGAAAGAGAACTCACCCCCTGTGAGTGTAGATACTCCACAGTCTTGGTGATGGTGCACAGCACGGCTGAAGCCTCTCTCTCTGAGAAGCCCTTCTGCCGCAGGATTCGGTCCAGCAGCTCTCCTCCTCGCATCAGCTCCATAACCAGGTACACATACTTCCCGTCATCATAGACCTGCAGAAGCACACAACACAGCACTCTCTCATTCTCCCTCCCTCCGGCCCACTGCAGGACTGCACTCAGGGCCAGAGGCCAGCCAGCAGAGTGCAGGGCTTACGCAACCACAACATCATTTTAAAAAGGAGGGTCAGTCACATCACGGTTTAGGTAGCATGGAGAGGACGAGGCACCTGAGGTGAATGTCGAATGGGGTTAGCTTTATGCCTTGATTATAGGTTTCTAGCTGCACATCACCCTATTCATTAATATGAATACCAGTATCATCACGTGTTTACAAATTGCTGCTCACATTCAAAGCCATGCATGGTGGAGCACAGATCTATTGGGGTCAGCTCTGCTGCCCTTACAATATTCAGTGTACTCTCAGGTCCTCAGGCAATGGACTCCTAGATTGACCTCTCAGACAGATCCTAGGCTTGGAAGGTCATACTGTTGTGCTTCAGTTTGAGTACAGTGTTTGAATACACACATACACATATGAGCATATGCACATACACTAGTATTCACTCTTTTCATTACTTTAAAACCAATTTTGCTGCAGAAACATGCATGAAATGACTTGAATACGCTCCACAGCTACACAAGTTTCAGATAATTAGGAGGGACCTGTCAAATGTTAAGAAATTAAAGATGAGAATGATGAGAGGAGCTGCAGATGATTTCTTTCCATAATTACTGAGAATGCTGCATTACATGCTTCCTTCGAAATGGTGATCACCTCTCACGGTAGATAACCTGACAAGAAAGTACTATAAAATAATCATAGCAAATAATTCACCATGTAATAATTTCTAGAAGTTCCCAAAACTTAAAATATTGAATAAAACTAGACGTCTGCTACTCGACCTGAGCCTGACGAGTTTGGGCTGATTTTTCTCTTGTAGCTTGGTTTGTTTTCAAATGAGTGATTTTTTATGTAGTAGATTTTCAGGCTCTCTCGCATTCTCCGCTTTCTCTCTCTTTGTCGTAACGTAGTGCTGCATTTGGAGAAGCTCCTGAGTTTGAGGAATAGGTGAATGTGCTCTGAATGAAACCGTGGATGATGAGATGGATGTGTTGTGTTGATTGATCTTATCCTCAAAGGGTCAATCAAGTATGAGTGTGTCTGATTCTACTTGTCGATCTGAGGGGATAATAGCTGATCAGAGGAAGGTGGATCTGTTCTCCGTCAGGTACAATCAGCAATTTCACAAAAAATATACTGACAGCTAACGCACGTGTGAAAAATACCAGTTAATCCCAGCATCACATTTTATGTCAGCCGAATCCAGTGTTTAGTAATACAGCAAAGCTCTGTAAAACCGTGTTTGTGCAGGTTCGGGCTTTAAATTTAACAGTATCGGTCAGGTTGGGTTTCAGTCGTGGTGAGGGTCGGGGTCAGGCTTCGATTTCACACCTGTGCAGACCTCTAAAAACATCTTTTGGTATCTACTTTGTAATATTTCAAACTACATTGTATAAGGTGTTATCGAATAAAATAACAATTATTAATACGACAAGTGATTCCAAACCTCAGAACAATATTGCAAGTGAAACATTTTGAAACTTAGTTCCTTTTTCTGTGGAAGATATTCGATATAGATAAAATCCTTTATTGTCTTATCTTATATTATGATTCTTTGAGTATACAACAGGTCAGGAAAACCAGCAGGCACACCAGCCATTTGTGGATAAGACTGGACACCCCTGTGATAGGAACTGCACAATTACAGTACAGGGTGAGACCCCCAGTCTGCCAAGAATGATGTTCTTCAACATAGAAATGTGAAGTGTGAGTTTGCACAATTGAGCTGTTTTTCTTCAAACATGACTCACATCTTTCAGAGTGATGATGTTCGGGTGCTGTCCGTATCGCAGAAGGATCTCAATCTCCTCAGACGGGTCCTTCTTAGCTTTGTCAATGATCTGAAACGAAAACAAAACCTGTCACAGCACTGCCCCAGAAACCACTGTCAACTTATCCTGCTCAATGTATGAAAAGTGCTACCGAAATAAAGTTATTACTGCCACTGAATGCTATTTTGGGAGAGGATCAAAGCAAGAAAAGTCCAAATTCCCTCACTTTAACAGCATATTCCACGCTGGTGATTCTGTGGATGCAGCGTTTGCAGACTGAATACGAGCCGACGCCGATGTCCTCCTTTATTTCATAGCCGTCAGTGAAATGGACGTTGTTGCCGTGAAGTTGCTGGAACAAAGCACAAAGCAGAAAGTCAGTCAGACGTCCAGAGGTTCAAAAGAAACCTTCTGCTAATATGGAAAATTCGCTTACGTGAAGCCTCAGACATGACATTTTCACTTTAGCATATGTCATAATCTTTAAGCTACAGACTGGAAAAACCTTCTAATCCTTCCACGTTCTCAGAAGCATTTCACGTCACTCTAATTTTACATACTTTCTTTTTTGCATATCATTTTTAATGCCTTCGGAATGTGGCATTCTATTTCTTACAAACGTTCAGCTCCGAATACATTCCTCGCTTCACTGGGAGTGACAGAAGGAAGAAACTCAAGCAAGTAACTCAAAAATACTGTTTCTTTGGAGAGAAGAGACAAATAATACACGAAGCATGCAGTGCTTTGTAGGGAAATCCAGCAGCCAATCCGCCAAGTCTAAAAATTTATATGGATTCACGGTGAGAGTTTAACAGCCTCATGTTCAATAAAAGCGCACAAATGATCTCAACACAATGTCAGATCAGAACATCTGGCCCTGTCAGTCATCCTGAGACCTGTGTGTTCTCCCAAATCAATAGCCTTCACTCCACCTAGACACTTCAGTGGATTTACTCAGCCAGGTAGGATCCATCTGGCAGAATCAGATCAGCTTATGCAATGGGAGTCTGTTTTTTTCCTGGTCTTCCTCCTTTTTTCAGAGGAATGCATAAGTGAGTCTCAGTGGGCCTGAAAAGGCTGCATCTGCAGTGCCAGTCCAAGGTCAGGCTTTAAATACAATGACTTGAGAAGAAGGCAAAGACAAATTAAAGGGGTATTCCTCCAATTTTTCAAAATTTCTGCATAGTTTAAATCCTTAAGATGTAAAGAAAGTCATTCAGAGTGGTATGATGTGAAATGCTGCGTTCTCAGGAAACAAGCTCAATAAGAATTGTTTACAATTGTGGTGATAGGAGTGGTGGTGATAGGAACCAGATATCTGAAGGTTTTAAAGCCTCTAAAAGCTCCTTCACACAAAATTCTTACATTAAATGGTTTTGATTTGATGCATGATGTCTTAGACATGATTTTTTGAGACAGTTTTGACCTAAAATGCACTTTTTTAAATCCATTCATGGCATATAGTACCCAAATAAAACATGTTTTTCAGATTTGCCACTGTTTTAACATTACATATGAACTCAGAAGACGTGTAGGTTCACTGGTTGTTTTGGGTTTTTTTTTTTGCTTAAAAATATTTTTTATGTCTTCTTATGAATTGCATTTATGTTGTGTGAAAAGCACATCAATGATGTTATGATTTGGTGTTCATTCTGTTTTGCAACAATACATGCCAAACGCTGCAACAGTGAATGCCATATCACACTTTAACAGCTCGTTTTATCCCCAGACTGCAACCTTTTTCTAAAGTACTACAAATAGCACTGACAACTGCAGAGGCGATGAGTGTAAGGTAGGTTAGCACATATACAAACAATAAATACATCAGTATTAAACAAGAACTGGTCTATCTAGGGCTGGGCAAAATGACAATATTTTATCTTTATTGTCATAAATTATATCGTTGATATCATCAATACCAAAAGAACACTGACTACCAACAGGTTTCATTGCAAAGTGAGCAGAATTAGTCCTTTTTATTTTGATTTAGTGCAGTGTAAAACACTGAATAAAAATCAAGACGCAAATTTATTATTTTTATTATAGTAATTTTTATATGTGGCACAACAGCTTCTGTTTTGTCTGTTCCAACTTATGAAATCTCAGAAAAACTAAATATTGTGACGCATATTATGCATCGTGAAAATGTGTTAAAGTAAAACGACAAAATACTTTTTGCCATATTACCCATCCCACTTGGTCTATCATCACTGCATTAGGCTGACTTAGTTATGCTTTGGCTAGCCTCCCAACGCTATGCACATAAAATGAACATAGAATATCAACAGGGCAAAGCTAATGCAGGCTTGTTTTGAACCAGACGCAATGCAGAACGGTAGCAAAGCAGAACATTCTTAAGTTTGTTTTTACAAGGTTGCACATTTCCAACGCACAACAACAGACACAAATTCAAATATCACAAGTATTAATGTCTTTATGTTTAATTCAAACAGATCAGTTGAAAATGAAACGTTGATATAAGCCTTGTATAACATTTGACGTAGCTCAGTAGCTCTCCTCTCAGTTTCCCTACGTAGCTTTACTAACAGCTCTTCCTTTTTCTCGCACAGGCTTTTCAACATCACTTTTATCAGTTCTGCCATCCTCTGGCTCTTCATCAGTGACCAGTTTCTGACACAGGGCTGCTGTTGGCTAGATATTTCTGCTGTTCTGCCTTTGTTGACTATTCTGAACTACTCGTTTCAACCAAGTCTTTAGGCATCATCTTAAAATTTAAGTCCTCTAATAGTGAAAAACTGTCATGCATCCCTCCGGCTCTGACATTCGGAAGGACTCCATTTCCCAGAACTCTCTGGGAGAAACTCGACAATCCAATTCACCTGTTATGTTTATCATATGACTAGCTTAGTATTTAAGCCTGGGCTTTAGTATACATTCTTATTGCTTCTCTCTGTAGAGCTGCTGAGTGTTTCTGTCTGTTATTGCCTTCGTGTTTTCCTGTGTTTTTAGGTTTTCCTGAGTGTATGAAAGGTGCTACATAAATAAACTTGCCTTAACCAGCTGCTGATTTTTAAGGTTAAAAGCATTTAGTAAAATCATATTTGAATCAAATGAACCTAAAACATTCCAACTTTGGTCCTGGAGTCCCCCGCTCTGCATTTAATGTTTTCCCTGCCGTACCACACCTTCTTCAACTCAGTAAATGCCTGTTAATCAGCTAGTTAGTTGGATTAAGCATGTTTTACAGCAGAGAACGCCAGAATATTGTTGCAGAAAAAAACAAGTATCTTCACAATAGTACCTGTGGAGAAGACAAAAACCTTCTTGACTTTAAACGCATGTTAATGAACAATTTCAATTGATCCCTGATTTTTTTACACAATGTGTTCAAATGATGTGGAAAAAGAAAAATCAGAAAAAATGAAGATACATGTTATGTAGGTCAAGTGCACTCCAGGACCAAGACTAGGAGCCACTGAAGTGAATGACACCCTTTTTCATACGCAGAAATGAATCAAAACTTGATTTTAGCTTTGCAACCTGAGTGTGGTAGTTCTCTCCGAGTGGACATTATCATGCTCACCTGTACTATGGGGTTGACAGAGTTCTGCCTGGTATCTGCAATAGACTGCTCCGGCCCCAGGTTAGTGGCCACAAAGCTGAAGCCTCTGAAGAGCTGATGGGCATTAGCACTGGGAGGAACGCCGGGTGAGTCTGAGGGCAGACAACACACACACACACACACACACTTAGCAAGGCAACTAGGACACAGACTCTCCACGGATGGAAACTCACAATTGATCTGCTGTGAGTGGTATGAATTGACTTTGCAGAAGGTCATTCTCACTGTACAGATCAGGCCTGAAGGCTCTTCTGAGCTGGCTGCTGGCTTTTGTACTGAAAGCAGAACAATGACTGGTGCTTCCATGTTATTCACACTTGTCAAGCACAGACTGTTACGTCAGAGGTAATTCCGACAAACTCATGCAGTTTTTTGGGTGCTGAAACGTTTCTGGAAACAGGGCTCAAAAGTTGCTGCGCTGCACTAAAATGATGCATCACTTACAGCTTTTCAGCAAGATCAAAACTGTCAAGTACACTGAGGTATTATCCTATTTTAGACCCTTTGAGATGGGCTTCACAGCATTTTAACTGCTGCCACTTTCTGTCCATGCTCTTGTCTGTTCTTTTGAAGCTTTCTGTACAAGTCTTTGTCTTTGCAAATAGTCTGTCAAACAACCTTTTAAGGGAACACATTATGAGAATCAATGATGTAATTAGTAATGATATAAACAGATGTAATCAATAAAGCATAGTATGCTAATTTGGTAAAACGACATGGAAATGGGATTGTCCAATTGCAGCATTATGAATGTGGCATTTGGATTCATTGACTTACAAGATGTCTCAGAGCAAAGGCTTAGAGCACCGGCGAGGCAATTTGCATATCTTATCATGTAACCTTTCAGTGAGAATGAAGACAAATCTTCAAATTCAGCTATTCATTTACATTTTACAGATACATAGCAATTTATCAGTGTCATGTAAGTTATGTGGCATTTTTGTGAGACTACAAACTGTGTAACGTTTAAATACGACAGCAGAAAGCATCTTATATATATATATATATATATATATATATATATGTTTCATTTCAAAATGCTTTTACAACACGAGGAGGTTTAAAAAGACATATAAAACACTGACACATTTCTGTTTCTCTAATAAAGCTGGTATTACCTTTCATATCGCTGCTGTTGGAACAAAACGTCGTATCTCCATTTTTGCCATTCTTTAGTTTTTCACTTTATTTGAAAATGCCTGTTGTCCTTCACATTTTATGTAAATTTCACGACAAATGGACCAAAAGAAACAGCCCAAAATTACTTGGAAAAAAGTCTGGTTCCATTGCCTTACATTAAAAGTAAAGTATGTTTTTTCCTTCTCCTGTAAAGTTACCGTTTTGGAGATACGAGGTTTTCTTCCGACAACAGCGATATATAAAACTAAGAGACTGAGCATTGCTGAGCAAAAAACAGCATTATGGGTGAGATATTTGAGTGTTATTGACTTTGGAGTTTAGTTAGTGACTGCACAGTCACAGAAGGACTCAGGTCTAAGCTGGTTTAGTCTATGGGAAAAGTGAATGGCATTTTCCAAATCTAATATGTTTTGTCCTGATTACATTTTCCAACTGATGTCACTAAATCCTCTGAGTTATAAGGCTGTTAAAGAATCGAGCATTACACGTCTACACTATTCTATACCAACACCAGCTACTCAAACTGTAGGCTACTACTGTCAAAGCAACTTAACCACCACATTTGCCCCAGCATGCAGCAATGTTCATATTTAGACCTTTTACCAACCTTGTAATTAGAGGATCCATGGGGTGCCATAGCAGCGCTTTTTGAGAATGTCATTCCCATAGAGAAAACCAGCTCAGATTTGGAGTTCTTTACTTAGGCATTTGGGCATGTTTACAGGCAAATGTTCGTATGCAAACAATTCAATTAGGAATTAAGAATAAACTAAGAAAGACGTATGACTAACTTTAAACTGGAAACTCACTTCATCCTTAACCGTAACGCCAGCCTAAGAAATATATCACAATTTCCTCATTTAAAAGATCTAAGTGGAAAGTAGGCCTGTCACAACTGTGAAATTTTAGCTGACAATTAAACACCATATAAATAATTACATTTAACAATTTAGTCTGCAATTTAATTTAATCTGCCTAAAGTAGCCAAACTGGCTGATCACCGTTTCCGAGCTCCCAAAAAAGCAGCTCAAGCTCAAATAAACAAACATTATTCACTGCAGCCCTCTAATGGCGTCAATGCCTCAAAACAGAAGTTAGAACTTTTGTTTTTTTTCTTAAGATCCATGACGTGTCTCAATAAATGCATCTTCTGTTTCTGTTGTTTACGTGTTTTTTCCTGTGCTCACAAGACTCACATTTGCATCACAGGACTCACATCTGCTGAATTTATTTCACTGCTGCACTTCACAGTTACCTGTTGGTGTGCGGGAGGTGAATTCAGGGTCGAAATGGAAGGTGTCCTCTGGTCTGCCCACCGCTGGTTTGAATGGAGGTTTGATCTCTTTTCTGTACAATTTCTGTTGCATGACAAGACACAGATACAAAGTTTAAAAAGATCTTCATTGTCTTTGAAGTCATAGTTTCATTCAACAACTACCACAGAGCCTTCAGCAGATGCAAATATGGCATTATCTCATTCTAATCATTTCCAGCCAGGTTATTATAACGTTCTGTTTTGGACAAAGTTCGCTTCTAAGTCAGATCCTACATACTGAGCACTCTCAGAAAAAGGGTAGTAAAATGTCACTGGGGCAGAACCCCTCTTGTCACTGGGGTGGTTCCCTCAAGGGTACATCTCAGTACCTTTAGTCGGGGAACATAACTGAACCATAATCCACTGAAATTATATTTTCTAAGCTGTACCGACTCCACACACCCCGTCTCGTCTCCAGGCTCTTTATTTTATTGTTCTGTTTTAAAACATTCAGTTATGAAAAGGTACAAATACAAACTTTTCACCTGGAAAAACTTATTTAAGGTTCACAATTGGACCTTAAAACCACTGTTGTAGCTTTGAGGGAACATTTACATTTTTTGTACCTTGATGAAAGAAAAATGTACCCGCACCTTTATTTCTAACAGTGTATGTAGATCACAAGCAGGTAATCACTTCAGTGAGTGTCAAACAAGTACACAAAACCTGTTCTTCATTCACTGATGTTTGTTCTAGAATTTTGGGTCTTGGTCACAATTCTGTTTCAGAACACAATTCTGGTCCTTTCCTAACTGGTGCACTCGCAGTCCTGATTTATGCATGCCCACGAGGCATTCGAGGTTGTAGAGTTTCCTATTTCTCGGTTTAGTCTTCAAAGGAGCGTTACGAGCACCTTGCAATACAGGCTGGAACCAATCAGAGTGGATGAGCTTGTTTACAGCTGACCAACGTGCACTTCTTTACTAATTTATCTTTTCAATGAGTTGCATTTTGCTTGTCATCTACACTGAGCAGAGTCACACACGTCTGCAGGGAGGAGGACTGCAGGGCTTAAGGCAACACTGGAACAGGGCTTTTGTGACTTTGTTCATTTTCAAATCCAATTTCAACAGCTAATTTTTAAAGGTTAACAAGGCAACTTGAGAGCAGAAGAGGAACAGGTAGAATTTGAAAGGCAGAAAGGGAAAGGGGAGAGTGCTCTCTATTCACTGTCACTCTGAAAACAACTCCCGCAATCTAGAGACAGTCTTCAATTCAGCCTGAGAGTGGACTATCTTGTAAGAGGTTTATGTAAGGTCTATTTGTGTGTGTGTGTGTGTGTGTGTGTGTGTGTGTGTGTGTGACAGAGCGAGAACAGAAGTGGGGAGTAAGAGGGCAATATTCAGTTTATCCATCCTTATAAAATCGTGATATCATCAGTTTATTTCTTCTCATGTAATGTCATTAACATTAAAACCAGTTGGATCGAGACAGAAGGTAGTTAAGCGATCACACTCACATTCCAGTCTATGGTTGCAAAGAAATGATGCCTTTTGATTTCCTCCACACCATCAGGTCCGGCTCCTATGGATGAAACAGTGGAGTAAAGATTAGAATATGTCATACCACTATTCTCCACTAGGGCTGCACATTACATTACTAATTATTGTGACACTGGCCATTAGAATGTAATAAAGTAATCTAACAAAAGTAAATTACATTGCTCAAAATAATGCAGACCTTAAATCACGTTATTAGTTTACCAACATGTTTTTAAAATATTATAAGTGTGTTACAATATGTAGCATTTTAATCACAATAATTGTAGTTTGTCCACATCATACAACCCTCTTGTGCACGCTGTCTGTGACATTAAAGGAGACCCGTTTTATTCTATTCTTTTTCATTTTATTACTCTTTACTCTTTGTGCAAGCCAAAAACATCATGACACAGCAATGTTTACTGCGGAAACCCTGTGATTCACTTTTTTTTCTTGTTTGTCACTGCTAAGATAATGCTGTTTCTTGTTAGTATCCTAGAGGGCGCTTAAATGTTTCATTAGCACAAAGATAACGAGTGTATAATCACTCTAAAGCGGCTCTCCAGCTTAACCCCAGGTATTAGAAGCTTGTAACAGACATTCAAGTAACATAATTCAGACTTAGGACATTACAACATGTCTCCAAACAGCCTGTTAGCTTAGCTGTATGCTAGTGATGTGTCATTCACAAACGTGTTGGCTCTTTGAGTCGGCTCTTTTAGGTGACTTTAGCTGACTTGCATTGAAGAGATGTTTCTGTTTGTAAATGAAGACATTTTTGGTAAATTAAAACAAAACAAAGATCCCCTGTTTAGCTCTGTCCCGTCATAATCCCTAAATCTGCTCTTGTTGTGTTAGCTTGGCTCTGGTTTTCGTCGTTTTTATGTAATTTTTAGATGTGTTTCCAAGTGTGCCTCGTTAGCTCTCCTGATTTTTGACTTTTGCCTGCCTTTGTTTGTCGATGACTGGTTGACAGATTTGCCGGCATTTTGCCCATGTGCCTATTTTGTAATCCTTGCCTCTCGAAATTCATCCAGGGCACATTACTTATCTACATCTGACTTATTTGATGTTTTTCAAAATATTAAACATAATGCAATTTTTGTTAATTAGATAATTACAACATATGGTGGCGTCACGCCACTGGCTGTGCTGCCGTAGGAGCGCAGGAGGCGTGGCCACGCAGAGTGGCCATGCAAAGAGGCTCTCTGGAGGCACCGCAGTCAGGGCAGAATAGACCTTAACATTCATAGTTGTGGATATTAGTGGAAATGTGTGTATATGTTATTTGTGTGATACTGTGCTGGGCTGTGAGGTAGTTCAGTGGGTTAAAGTGTCTACCACAGAGTGAAAACACGGCTAGAAGTGACCTGCATTCTATCCCGGCTGCTTGGTCAGTGCTGAGCAGCAGTTCTCTCTTGCCGCCTGATCAATAAAAGAGCATTCGCCTTTAAAATGTAATGTTTTACACATTTACCTTTGTCTACTCTTGAATAATAGATAATACAGCTAACTTGATTGAATGAAGAGCTGTTTTGGGACCGAAAGAGCTGGAATGCCCATCACTTCTACACGCCCAAAGTCCTCTAAAGAAGGCAGAATATGGTCTAATCAGCCCACAAAGACACAGTTAACTTCAACTTAGAAGTTTAATGTTTGTGATTTATGACATTACATTGCAGTTTTACACTGTCTTGTCCAACAGTCCATTAGTGGACTGAAACTGCAGCTACGACAGTTAAAGATTGAAGACTGGCTTTATTCAGTGGGACAGGATGCAAATCCTAACAGCCTGTAGTAAAAGGAAAATGCACCAAAATGGCAGACTTCAGTTCTGTTTACTATGCCTCCTTTAAAGGGCTCAAAAGTCTAGAAGTGTTTTCCATCTTACATGAACAATTATCAAAAACATTTTGTGCTCAAATAGCACAAAATTGCATTGTCTGTATTAGACTAACAGCCTATTCAGCCAGGCCTTTTGTGATGGAATAAAGACATCATGCCAGCTGACATTAGCTTTCGTTCATCATCAACCACGTTAGCATTGTTTTGCAGCTCTATGTTTTTGACTCATCTCAGTTTGCCCACATTTGCCTGGTAGGCACTATATATAGGGTAGTATGTATCACTATCGCTTTCCCAGTGGAGTATCAGTAGCAGGTGAGTGAGGACTTGCCTGTGCATGAGTAGATAGCTAATGCGAAGCTGACGCATGTCTGGCTGAGCTCAGCAAGACGCATCAGCCGCATTTTCTCTCTGCTTCATGAATTATGTAGAGCGTGACTCAAATTCAATCGCAGTTTAGACAAACACGCTGCAACAGTGACTGAATGTGGCCTGCAGTCATTCACCCAGATCATCATTTACTACGGCTTAAATAAGATTCATTCTGTCAGAGTAAGATGGTTACCTTGATATAAGGAAGGCAAATAATCTGTATACACACTCACTGGTCAGCTCTCTGGAAACAGCAACCTTGTAAGTCCACTTTACTTTAGCTCTCATCTAGCACAGGCTGTGCAAAGTGTGGCCTGTGAGCCAAAGTTGGGCCATGAGGATGTTTGATTTGGCCAGCCAGAAGGTTTTCCTGACCCCAACCCCTAACTCAATGACGGAACAATTTTACATGCGGTTTTATGCAAAAGTTAACACACCCTCTACAGAGAACACACTTGTGCACATTTTAATGCACAATTACTGTTTATTTGCTGAGTTTAACATGTGTGTACTGCGCAAGGCTTATGGCATATTTTATACTTCATGTTTTATTTTTTCTCCAATATGTTAAACTCGGCACATAAACAGAAATTGTGCACTAAAATTTGCAGAAAAATGCCATATTTAAATTCTCTGCAGAGGATGTGTTAACTTATTTTCACTCAGAAAATCAGCAAAACATGTCATTTAACTGGTGGAGTTCAAACTTTTGCATATGACTGTGTTTTTTTAATAATAACAATAAAACATACTGTATTTATGATTAAATCCTTATTTTATTTTTGTCATTTTCATAATAAAATGTAGTGCAATGTTACAAAAAACATTTTTAAAAAACGATTTACCTTCTAAATGTTTCTAAATATGTATACTGTTTTTTTTCTTTTTGGCAACCAGCGCACCACAAATAATGCACTTTGGCACCCCAAGACAAAAAATCTAAGCACCCCTGCTCTTGCCCTTCATCAACGGTCAGTTTTTGACCACAGAGCCCCTCTTGGCTGGATATTATGTGGGTGATGGACCACTCTCAACCTAGCAGTGACACTGACGTGTGACAAAAAAACTCAGCAATACCGCTGTGTCCAGCGGTGTTGACCACTACTGTGTCAGTGTCACTGCTGTGTTGAGACATCCAAAATGATATCTGGACAACAGAGCACCTGTGGTCAGAAACACCAATGATAAATGAGTTAGGGGGGGCTGACAAACTGTGCATGACAACAGAGGGGCTGAACTGGCCAGTGAATGGAAGAACAAACCATGGGTCCTTAAGCGGATAGTGAGTGTATACTGCAATTAACATGAGAGACTGTTTTGCTGAATGTCCCTTTTAAAGGGGAATTTCTAAATTATTAAATGGCTAAGATGTAAACAAATCTTATTCAGAGTGGGTTGGTGTGAAATACTCTAGAGAATCAAGAGAAACATACCAAGCCAGAATCGTTCACAGTGGTGGTGATAGGAACCAAACATCTGAAGAAGGTAATGCCTCTAAAGGCTCCCTCACAGAAAGCTATTACATGAAATTATGCTAAGATGTTGTTTTTTGATGGTTTTGCAATAAAGCTTTGGCCTTAAACCCATTAATGTTGGGGAGGTACATGTGAAGCAAAACAGTCCCCAAAAAGACTCTTTTTTTCAGATTTATCACTATTTTACCATCATCTGCATTACATATAAAAGACTCTTTGGATAGTAACTAGAATATCTGCGTTGTAGACATCTCGACCGCTGGTTCCCATCACCACCACTGTAAAGAGTAAAGCTATTCTACAATGAACCATTTCACATCAAACAACTCTGAATTACTGAATTATACAGATTTTTTTAAAGATTAGTGGAGTTCCCCTTTAGTTAGTATTTTAAAAGCTGGCAAGCTTCATATCTGCATCACAGACTTCAGATACTGTACCTAATCTGTTGGAAGGATTCCTTTTAAACAGCGCACGCAGTAAGCTCTGCACCTCTGGGCTTAAGAACTGTGGCATCCCGAGCTTTGCCCTGAAAAAGAAGAACATTAACCACAGATCTGCCCACATTTCTTAGTATTTGCAAAGAAAGAAAAATAAAGTTTAAACCAGTCTTACTTGAGAATGAGTGCCATAGTCTCTTTGCGGTCTTTGCCTTGAAACGGCAGAGATCCAGTCAACATTTCAAACTGTGGGGGGGGCAGAGAGACAGTAAAAGCAGCGTTAGGCTTTAAAGCTACCAGGCTTGCTTTCTTTTTTTCTTTCATTACAGACGTTATAATAACGATATATACTCAGCATCATTTCAGAGCAACAGCTCTCGCAGCCGGTGTCCTCTCCCTGCGCTTGGAGTTATGTAATCTATTCTTCCCTGTGAGTGAGTGAGCACATTTTCAGGCAGCGCTGTGCTGTGGATAGTTGGAGGTGGGCCAGCGCTCAGTTGCTAAATTTATCCATTTGCTGTTCAATGCCACCTTCAAAGACGAAAGCATTGGAATGATATCAGCCATTTACGGATGGTGGCACACGTAATCCATATGTGGGAAAGACTGTGTTTACAGCTCAAAATAAACCGTTAGTTGATATTAGCAATCAGTGCACACTTCATTCAGTTTCGAGTATTTGCCTGTAGTCGGAGCGCAGAACTGCTCTGTTTTAACTCTCCGGCTTTTAATTCTTTAAAAGCTGCTGTCATTGTAAGTGAGAGCTGTTGTTCTTATCTGCTCTGCCGGAGCCGAGCGCCGCGCTAAATGTCATTCGGCCCAACAATGCCACTGAGTCATCAAGACGTTTAAGCTGCGGGAAATGAGAAATCTCAAAGGGCATATCCTCACTCTGAGCAGAATCAACTCCAGCCAAGCTTTGTGCAAAAACAATTGTCTACTCTTTTTTATGGGATTTGCAGAGCTGCTAAAAATGTCATGTTTTTTCTTTGTAAGACACAAACAAACAAACAGTGGTGTGACATTCTTTCTCAAAAAAATGACTGGTTCGTATTTACGTCTGAATGTGTCTGCAAGGGTGGCTCTTTAAAGAGTGCTGCTGTTTTAGGCCACAGTTGTCTCCTATGAAAAATCTCTGCATTGAAGTCGTCATTAATTATGGAAGGAAAGAAGAGCAAGCTGGAAAAATTATTTAAATCATTCAATGATCTTAATCATTAACCATCTCAGAGGATCACTAAGAAAAAGTCCAAAGGAATGCATGTGTTTCTGATCTTGCAGCAGACTGGAAGGTTCATCCAGACCCTGATACAGTCTACAGCTCTTCCTGGGTCACCTGAGGAAACATCTCTAGGCTTCTACAGTTATGAAGTGGGAGCAGTGCCCTCAGCCCCAAAGACACTCACCATTAAGACTCCAAAGGACCACCAGTCAGCGCTCTGCGTGTGCCCCCTCCTATTGACCACCTCCGGGGCCATGTACTCAATGGTCCCGCAGAAGGAGTATGCACGCTTTGTCGTGATCTATTGCTTCTTTGCTTAGGCCGAAATCTAAAAGAGCAAGAGAGATACGACAGGTCAGAAAAGCAAACTCTCCACAGTTGATCAAGTGATGGAAAAGAACAAAGAGAAGCTTCCTTACCTGTGATCTTTATATGGCCTTCCTCATCAAGAAGAATGCTAAAAACAATTAAAACAAGAGAAATTAACTTCACTCACATTGTTTTTGAAACTGAAATGCTAATAACCAGTGATGATCAAACTACAAAATAGACTTACAATAATAAAGAGGGCCTGCATTTAATTAAACAGCCTTTAAGTCATAAGCTATTCATTTTTTAAGTGTCAGGAAAAAAGCAGAAAAGATATATTTAACAGGAAATTAAACAGAAGCCTCCACTGCTAAATATAATATAATTTTTTCAGTGTTTAGTGTCTCCACATTTTGTCTTTATTACAGCTTCCATTCTTTTCAGGAGACTCAAAGAAATCTGCAGGGATATTTATCCACACTTCCAAAGTTCAGTCTTGAAGTTGGTTTTGCATTTTCTGCTTCTCATGATCCCAAACACACTCAGTGATGTTGAGGTCTGGACTCTGGGGTGGTCAGTCCATTGTTCAGCTTCTTTGTTTGATGTGTCCGTCTCCTTTTCTCAGTGAGGTTCTTCTTGACAGCTACACATCCTTTCAGACCCACAGCGCTGAGTCGTCTTCTCACAGTGGAAGGATGGACAGAAACACCTGTGGATGCTTTCAGATCTGAAGCAGCTTGATTTTCTCCTCTCTCTCAGAGATGAAAGCTTTAAGTGCTGTTTATCTGATGGGGGCAGTTTTGGGGTCTACCAGGTGTTGCACTGTTGTTGTTTTTTTGTTTTTTGAACTCCAGTTTTGGAAACCCCTTTTTATTTCCCTTTGACGTGCAAGTGGATTATCTTATATCTAATCTCAGAAACATCTCCTGAAATCAAATGAAGGGTGGTCTCAGATCTTTGCTCAGTACTGTATATTTCTACTTGAGTTTAAGTAGAGTATTTAAGCATCAAAAGTAAAAGTACTGTAAGTTATTACAGTTATAATATCATTGTGTTGAACAGTTTCTGTGAAGGAGACTTGCACAGCTAACAGCTCACTAATTTAAGCACACCTAAAAGAAAGCACTTTGTACTTTAAGTCAAGTAGCATTATAGACTTAGATGACTTCTTCTCCTAATTATACTCAAGTAACATTTCACCAAGGGTATTTCTGCTCTCAGTCAAGTACAGCAATTCTGCACTTTGTCCACCACTGCCAATAACACATTTATGTTCACTCAAAAAAGGTTTAAAATCACACTAATTTGGCTAACATAGGCAGCAAGAATGGATCCATTAGTAGTTAGAAAAAGAACATGTTGTACAGCCATTTTTACAACCCTCTCTGCTGACTGCTGTGCGTGAGACTCGGCTGATATGATTGAAGACATGTTTGCAGTAGCCTGGAGTCCTACGGGCCGCCTTCAGCTACATGTCATTAATCATTCGCAGCATGCCTGAAAACACAGCGTCCAGTGCTTAGCTCCTTACCAAGCTCTCTACCAACGACACCCCCTCGCCCTCCAACCCCCCTCAACACATTTTCCCAAGAGGGAAAATGAGCAAGGGCAGGAGATGCCTCCCTTGCACTCTCAATGAGCACCACTTCATTATCTCTCGTTGATCCTCTCTCTCGAGAGCCAATTCAAAATACTAGCCAGCCTGTTGTTCTGCTATTGTTGGAGTAAACTGTAGAGCTCAGCTGAAAAGGAAACCATGTTTGGAGTGTTACGGTCTGCCAGAGCAGAAGGAAGGTGTAGGTTTCAGTTGTCTGTGAGGAGAAAAAGCTTTGACAGTGCTTCTAAATCCAGCCGTACGCAGCTGCTGTGTTAATCGCACCGCGGCACCTGGATGAGGTGTGTTTTTTTTTTCCCGCTCAAAGTCAAGCAGTGCTCTCTGAGGGGTTATATCACCTCAGCTGAACTGGCAGATTCTGACTGGAATTATGCTGGGGTCTCCATCTGGGTGCCTTTAATCCACAATCCTTCCAATCCATTGAGGCTTGGAGCGGCGCGGGTCAAAGTGATAATTCAGCAAAAAATCCTGTTTAACCTTATGGAACCAAGCGGCTCGCTGGCGATCCTCTCTGAGAATCGGAAGATGCCTTGTGTGACTTATTTAAATCTTCCGCCAGAGAAGTTAGGTGTGCATGTTCATGTGGCCACAGTGAAATGTCTTCACATGCAGAATCAGTGCTTTCTGTGTGCTGCCATGTTTTTATTACTGTTTAAATGATAATGATAATATTTTAAGAGCAAGTGGTGAGCGATTACTGTTCTCTTTAATCAGATTAACAATAAAATGCTAGTGATGTGTGACTTTTATTCTTATTAGTGTGTTGGTCAAAAAGGTCATTTTTGGCACAAACTATATAAAAAAAAAAACAAAAACAAAACAATTTTGGCTTTGTTTTTCTTTACATATAAAAAAGCACACAACAGCGTTGAGATTCACGTGATCAACTAAGAAGAGCAGATTAAATGGTTAGAAATAGCCACATTAGAGCATCGGCCTCAAAGCGTTAACGTCCCAAGTTTGTTTCTTCAGTTTTGCACTAAAGCTACAAGGCTTACATATCAACCTTGTTGTGGTAAAATAAAAGTTCAGTAAAAAAAAAATCTATCCCCAAACATAGGCAACAAATGCTGTCTGAAGTGAGCCAATAAGGCTATTTATCAAGCAAAATAGCTAATTAGCCAAATTAGACGCTTAATATTGGCATGAAACGACCAAAAAGACAGTGAAATCCTTAATCGCTGTTACTGTGACAGCTCCAGCTGTTCTTGAGCAGAAGATGAATGAACTAGAATCCTAAGTTCTGTTGGTTCCCATTTGACACAGTACTTGTTCTTGAATGTGAAGTGGAAAAACACCTAAGAGTTTGGATCATATTTATCCCTTCCAAATCGCTGTTATTGCCAGTGGTGGCAAAAGCATGGGCAATTTAATATTAATTATTTCTGTCTTATTAATTTTGCTTTGAGATACTTCCTAACAAGCAAGTTTATCCCAACAATTAGCACAGAGCTAACTGCATGCTTAACCTTCTACTGCACACATTATGAGACCAATTAAAAAATATATTCAATTCACTTTTTTTGCATAAAATGGTCCTTGATTTATTTTTTCAGACCTGTTTATTAAATTAAAAAACATAAAAAAAATAGTAATAATGTGTGCAGGGGTCCTTTTGGAGTAAGTTGCCTTGAGGCAACATTGTGCAACAATGGGAATAAATGGTATAGAGCCGTGTTCCCTGAAGTGGTGAGACTTGGCTTGTGACTGCCCAAATCCATTCCTCTGTCACACAATGTTGCTTCTAGGCAACGAATATATTTCTGCAAATTCTCCAGATACATAATGTTAAAAAAGAGGTTTAAATGTGCCCATTAAGAGATGGTGTGATCAAATACATGCTTTTTATTGACTTAGTAAACCCTTCGCTTTATGGTTATCACTGTCTTTAAATATGTATAAAGTCATTATAAAGTGAGGAAAATTAGTTTGTTGCTCTGAGGCAACATCATGCAATAGAGGGTTAAATTATCACTCCCTTACTTCAAACAGTGTTGAGTCGTAATCTCTAAGAGAATTTCTTCTGTGGTTTCTGACACTGTATGACATACTGTTATCTAAAAATGGACAAAAGCATGTTTTGTAGCTAAAAAAACATAGTAGCAACCTGAATTTTCATCCATACTTTTGCTCAATAGGTGTCAGAAACCATAAGCAAGTCTTTTTGAGATTACTTAACAACTCTATACTGTTTGAGGCATCGTGAAGATTTGGGTAGGCAGTTTGCACAGTTACTCTAAAACAAAACTAAAGAAGCAAACTTGTCAGCTACGTTTGGGTAAAAAGGAAAATCTGTGTAAATCTGATTTTTCATGAATTATCACTTTAAGACCTTCTACCAAATCAGGCCTTGATTGTGGTGAGCAATTAAGTCACAGACAGGGTTGATGAGGTGCACATATGCAGGTATGGATGACAGTCCAGGTCCTGATCTTGCTGAAGAGCATGGTTTACAATACAGTATGTTCTTCAGTTTCACTCACTTTTCAGGTTTGAGGTCGCGGTAGATGATGCCCAGGCTGTGAAGATGGTCCAGAGCTAAAGCCAGCTCAGCCAGATAGAACTTCACATCCTCCTCAGTGAACATCACCTGTCAGGGATATTAAGAGCAGCAGACGTGGGTAAGAATTAGGCAAAACCACAGACTTTAACCTGAGTTTTGGTAGCTTAACCCTTGTGTGGTGTTGATGTGTTTGTTACTCAGTGATCTGGTGGTCCCACCACATTATTGTTTTTTTTAAATCAATACAGCCAAAACAATTTACGTAAAAATGCCAGATGTTTAAAATATCACAAGTGGCCAGTGTAGGGTTCTCCTTTAGCAGCTGTAGCCAGTCAGCAGCCTGTCCATGTTGCCCACCCTCACACACACACACACACACACACATATACAAACACATACACACACACACACTAACAGAAGCCATGTAGGAGGAGAACAGAGTGAAGGACACAGCACCTCCACACTGTTATACCCCGCGGGTTCAGCCAACACCACATGTGTAATATAAATGTGTGGGGGGTGAACAGAGTGAAGACACTGAAAATGGGTTATTTTATATGTTCTTCACAGAAAATGAGCAAAGACCAAGAATCTGGGGTTGAAATAATAATAAATCGCATCATTTTTTATTTTGGTAAACATTAAAAATGGGTCCCACAGACCCCAACACCACACAAGGGTTAAGAGAGCATCAGGGTAAGCTTGATTTCCACAGCTTCATGAGCTCCATTCCTGACCACGTTACTGTTTGTATTGCTCTTGTCTTAGGAAAATTGTCTGAGGAATCTTTTATTTTCGTACGAGTCTACTCTCAGCTTGCTACGCAGCTAATTTTAACCACTGGGAGATTTATTTAGCCTCTGCACAGGACACGTCAGGGGATAGATAGTGGAATATTGAGAAGAGAAAATTGGCTTGCACAGATTGTAACAAGTTCCAGGCAGGAGCGCGGCAGCTGCTGCTGGCAGATGACTGATTCCACCACCGGTGGTAATTAATTCACGTCTCCCTTCCTGAAGCGTACCTCTGCTCGGAGGATGACGATTAAATCAAGATTCACGCATCACACCACAGAAAGCGCTCAGAGTTCGTCCAATCAACTGTCCTTATTTCGAGAAGAGTTCGAATTAGAAGCAATGCTAATGGGAGACCCCACACTCGGGAGGTGTGCTGGAGACGATTCTTATTTATTAGGTAGCAGCAGCCAGTCAATAATGGATTATTCACGGTGTGAATGAGTGTGTGGTATAAATTCTTGTGCTTCATGTACAATAATACTTTGGGTGCTCTGCACTTTTATATCCAAAATCATATAAATCACCTCCTTAAGTAGCTATAAGATAAGGAAGCAGGGGTCGATAAGGTACATCTGACTTGCCTGGTCACATATCAACTTATTACCCTCATATGAAGCTGAATTTATGATACTTCATAAAGCCCATTGGTCCAAGTGTAATTAATCAGCAAAGGCAGTGCAAGAAGCTGGTACTGGTAAAAAGAGCGGGCAGTTTAGCTGGGGGAAGGAGAATAGCCAATGGCCCCCATTAATCACTGTCTGGAGAAAAGCTCTGCCTAAAGGAACTCTGGGGGGAGCTGTTTACAGCAAAGCAGCAGAAAACCTCAGCATTTTTCAGCCTGGTCTGAGAATGCAATAAAAGCTGCATCTCTGAAGCCCGTTTGGAGTGCAAAAACACAGATGCAAGCTGAGTGGGAGTTTCCCCAAGGAATTCTGGGTAAACAGGATCTATTAACCACATGTAATGACAAAGACATCACAGTGAACTCAAAGAATTCTAGAGGCGTATTTCCACGACACAAAGTGCCTTTTTCCACTGGCCATTGGTCCAGTGCTGAAGGTTCCAGTTTTACGGTTTCTGGTATCTGTTCAGATACCAACAGGACTTAATGTTACTCAAGGAGGCTCTCCTCTGTGTTTGCTAAAACTTGCATCTGAAACTAATGACAGTTCAATTATTCGGGTCCAGGTGAAGATAAACTTTCCCAGCACTATTATATCACCAATAAGGTCACCAGGAAAGTAAACTAAGATGGTATGTTGATGTGTCGACTGCTGTTTTTGCTAAGGTGACATAAGCTAGTTAGAAAACTAATTTCCCATATTTTCTCATATTTTCATGCTCAACGGAGCAAAATATGACCTTTGTTTGATTCTACATGATTCTGCATAATTGTACACATTTGTGAGTGTGAGCGCAAAAAAGAGCGCTATTATTCAATATTAGAACACTGTTCACTGTGTGAACAAGCTAAGATAATAAAAATAAAAGCCTTGTGCAACTCAACAGTCTAGCAAACAGTGTAGCAATAGCTCTCAACGTCTAAGCCAGGGGTCGACAACATAAAATAAAGCTCTGCTGATTTAGATCTTCTGATCTGTTCTAACACAGTTTTAACAATAAACTGTCTTAAACACTGGAGTTAATGTAGCCTATATCTGCTAATTCACCCTTTAACCCTGAAGGTTGGTGCGCAGACTGATGGTCACCATAGCAGTCTCACCTAGCAAGTAGTTAACGAAACGGCAAAGATTTAGGACGAACATCGATGATTTGGAGATGAATTGACTTCTTTGCATTTGTAATCAGTCCACCTGGTTTCCTGATACGTTTAGTCTGCAACAAGAAACTGTCAAACACTGAAAAGTCAGAAAGCTGAAGTCAGCTTCTCGTTCGCCAGAATTCTCCTGTTCCACCTTAAAGCAGTTACGTTCTGCCGCCTCAGGCACCATTTAAGGTGGAACGGAAAAATTTGAACAAGAATCTGGCGAATGAGAAGAGACTTCAGCCTCATGAAAGTCAAACATTGAGAGACATTTTACAAGAAACTATTCTACTTTTGCGGAAAGGTTTCCTGCCAGAGATGCGGCTATAGCTGAGATAAAGCTAGTCTGCATTTTCGTTTCTATTACATTTTTAGCCTATACTAGAACATCAGCCAAGATGGTAAATTGGACATAAAATGTTATGACTCCCAAGGTGGTGTGATTTTTGTTGAAAGGACAAAGTTGTTCTTCTTAACATTTGCATTGCTGACCCCTGGTCTGACCACTGGGGCTCTAACAGAGCGAAATAACTGTCCTGTAAATCAGTGCACTCTTGCCACTTTGTTGGCTGCCATCTAAAAAGACTGACAGGAAATATATTTCATCCTGGCTTTCTTCTGTTATGATTATCTCTGCTTTTGTCCCAAAAGAGGAGAAGACAGCAACACTCTAGATGAGGATAGCAACACCATCTAATATTAGCAACCCTCATCACACTGGAAAGCTTAACGTTATAGGACTTTCTAAAACAACTTTCCTATGAAATCACCAAGGCAACAAGTTATTCTTAGCCATCTCAGTCTATATTCTTCACTTGGATTAAGTGCTCTTGCAATCATTAAGTGCGCGTTCGAATAGCATCACTGCAGTCTCACACATGCACACGGCTGTAAGAGCCATTAACCCTCACCCTGGATAACAATCGTGCAATTAGGAGGACATCTCTGACCAAGTCTAATGTTTATTTACACCCACTTTTATATGTATTTCAGAAAGAATGAGCACTTATAAAAGAGGCAGTGGATTTGCCACAGAAATGAGAGGACTGTTAGAGCGCAGGTAAACCAAGAACGCTGAGAGCTTTGCCAGCAAACATGCAGACATATTCATTACAGAGTCCACGCATACAGAGTATCAATGTACTGCTGAGAGAGGAATACAGTGTAGAACAAGGCACTTTTCTAGAAATATCAGCCATACTATGGTATTTCACAATGGCACCACCCGCAATTGTCCTTCACCTGCTATAAGAAACAGATCCTCTTAGTAACAACCGTGGACTTGGCATCTGCTCTATTCCTGTACCATCTCTCGTTTGAGCTTTGAAGGAACGAGGCACAGATCTTAGGATGGTGTTTTTCATGGGCGATAAGATAGGAAAGATAAGTGATGCAATCAGGCGAATCAAAGGGTCCATTAGGGAGAATTATAACAAGGGACTGGCAGCACCAATTACACCACGGTGGGTCAATTCATTCTGGGAGTAGCTGCCAGACATGCCTGTAATTACCCAGTGTTGTGTGTAAATCTCTATTAGAGAACATTCTCGTCACCGGGTTATGGTGCTGCTGTAGCATGAAGAAGTCTCCACTAAATGATCTGATGCATACTAACTACCACTTCACATAAAGACCAGGGGTGGAACAGTATGACGTGCTGTATTGCTATAGATGGGACCCTCAATTTGATACTCATGGGACATTAAAAAGTACATTAACAGAGTGAAGAACCTGCTACATAACACTGACATAACAGTGCCATAAACATGTCATGGTAGATGTTGTATGGTGGCATGACGGATTTTTATCAGTTTGTCACGTTGCCACTACCGTTAATCGTCATGAAATCTTCTGTTTTGTGCTAATTTCTGCTAAATGTAGTCAGCCAGAAATTATGGCATTATGGCATAATTCCTAGTAAGTCCTAGTATTGGATAAAAAATATAAACGAAAATGCAGACTTACTTTCCTCCACTTTAAGCTTTAGCTCAGCTATAGCTGCTTTTCTTGCATCTCTGGCAGGAAACTTTTCCTTAAAAGTGTAATAGTTTCTTGTAAAACGTCTCTCAACGTTTAGTTTTTACAAGGCTGAAGTCGCTTCTCATTCACCAGCTTCTTGATAGAATTTTCCTGTTCTACCTTAACAGAATGTAACTGCTGCACCATTTAAGGTGGAATGGGAAAATTCAAATGAGAATCTGGCGAACGAGAAACTGACTTCAGCTTTGCGACTTTTGTAGTGTTTGACAGTTTCGTGTTGCAGATTAAACATATCAGGAAACCAGCTGGAGTGATTATAAATGCAAATAAGTCCATTCGTCTCCAAATTATCGATGTTTGTCTTAAATCTTTTTCTTTGCCAGGTGAGATTGTTGTCTGCGTTGCTATGGTAACCAGCAGTCTGCGCACCAACCTTCAGGGTTAAAGGGTGAATTAGCAGTTCACATTAATTCCAGCATTTAAAACCATTTACTGTTAATACTGTGTTGAACAATCAGCAGAGCTTTATTTTACTGTAAAGCAGGATTATTTTATTTTTACCTGAAAATCTAATTCTGCTAATCTAATCTAATCTAATCTAATTCAGCCACAACATGGCAGTAAAAGAGCCGCATGTTGCCGACCCCTGGCTTAGACTAAGCTTGACCTGAGACAGGACAATGTTTTTCTCAAGACCTGAAGCCACACTGTCTGGTATCTGAAACCTGACGCTGTGGTCTGAGGATGATCTGAAGGATGTGCACCAAACTATAAGTAGCGCTTTGAACATAATATCTGCTCTTACAGTAAGAAACAGAGCCTGTTGAACACACATATTTATTTGCATTTATTGTGTAATTTTGTCTTTTTAAAGTATTCCTAGTGTCTTTTTTTAATAAAGTATTTCAGAATCTTTGAAAAGTTGTCGATTATTATTGTTTGGGCCTCTGATTACTCAATTAATTGGCAATAAAAAATAACTGGTAAGCTGTTTGGCTAATGACATTATCAGTAGTAACAGTCATCATGACTTTTAAATGAAATTCATTCAGCTCATATGAACTGACCTCTTTGGAGAGGCGGGTGAAGAGATCGCCTCCTCGGAGGAAGTCTAGGATGAGATAGAGTTTTCCCTCCGTCTGAAAGGCTGCAGGAGACAATAAACACAACCATCACATCAAAGCAGCGTTCTTCCTCACTGCGAACCCGGCCGGAATGCTAAGAGCGGCCGTCTGACGCATGTAGCTGAAATCCATTTTTACAGCAGCTATTGCACATGGTGAACTGCTCATGACCGATATTTGTGGCTGAAACATCTGTTCTTTTTACTTTATTGTAAATGCATTATAACTGCTTATTTTTGAATGTCAAATGCAACATGGGGTCACATTATAGCATAATAACACCATAATAGAGTCATAATAGGATGTGCTTGTAATTCTGGGATGTAGCTCTACAAGAGGAGGTTACTCACCGTAGTGAAGTTTGACTATGAAAGGATGATTCACTTCAGCGAGGATGTCCCTCTCCATTTTGGATCGCACCCTGTCCCGCACTTGGAAGAGAAAAGGAGAACAGAGTGGGTTATACATGAGATCAAACATAAAGGGGGCCTAGACGCTCCTCAATAAAGGGGGGGGTCACATAGTGTTTTTCTGAAGGTGGAAAATTGCAGGTGCTCAGCAGTCTTTTGCAAATTTTTAAATTAAATCACAAAAAATACTGATTGTTGGTACAAAAAGTCAGAGAAAGCTGCTTTATGAGAAACTTGGTTCTTTAGCTTCATATACCAAACCTGAAGTACGAAACCTGGATGTGATCTTAGACTCTGAGCTCTGTTTTATCCCGCATGTAAACGCAGTCACTAAAGTAGCTTTTATCATTTGAGAAATTTCACTAAAGTTCGGCCTTTTCTATCTCAGAGCGATGCAGAGAAACTTGTTTATGCATTTGTTACAAGCAGAGTTGATCACTGTAATGATCTTCTTAATGGACTTTCTAAGAAAACAATACATCCCTTACAACTCATACAAAATGCAGCAGCATCCTAACAAAAACAAAACAGAGAGATCAGCATCACTCCTGTTTTAAAAGAACTGCACTGGCTGTCTGTATCGTTCAGGATAGATTTTAAAGTTCTGCTACCAGATTTTAAGGCTCTAAATGACCTCAAAGCACTGCTTACATCACAGAGTGTGTCTGTTTATATTCCAGCATGTGATCTTAAATCTGCAGATACTGACCTTCTACAAACACCTTCTGTAAAAGACAGAAAACATGGAGAGCCTCGTTCAGTTATTCTACTTCTAAACTCAATTCCACATTTTATTCCACCTTATATACAGTCAAGCTCAGTGCCCACTCTTTAACTTAGGATTTAATTAAAGTCTTGTGGTCTTTTTATCTTTTAATTTGATCTGTAATTTTCTTATAAGATTCTAAATTAATACTTATAATTTCTTGTATTACTGTTCAGTTTTATCATCTTTCTGTAAAGCACTGTGAGCTGCCACCGGATTGAAAACTGCATATAAATAAAAAAATATTATTATTATTAGTAGCAGTAGTAGTAGTAGTATTTAGATTATTATTTTATTATTAAAAGACAGAATTAAGTAGGCAAATCCTCATTATTTACATACAGTGGGCAGTTGCTTTTGCCTGCCTGTGAGGCTGCCACGTGTAATTTGCAGGAATTCAAAGCCAGCTCAACTTTCCTTCCTCTGAACTTTGCTGTCTGAGATCCCACAATCCCTCACACATTTTTGCGCCACTCCCCACTGAAACAGAATGGGAGCGAAATTTCAGCTGATGAATTCATGTGATCCTCATTTAGACTTTCTTTATCACTTCAACGTGAACAGACAGGCTAAAGTACTATAGGCTGAATAAGTGGATGTATGTAAAATGTGTTGTGACATTACAAAAACAATTCAAGACAAGCTGTTTTTGTAGCTTAACTTCTATATTACTGCTTCAAAGAAAAACAAGTATCTCCTTATTTTGACACTGTGTGATAAATTCAAGACAAATGGACCACCAGATATGCTCCAAAATTCCTTAGAATAACATCTCTTGATATTAACTTACATTAAAAGTTGTAAAAAGAATGTTTTTGCCTTCTCCTGCAAAGTAACTATTTTCAAGATTTTTGGACTGCATTATTTATTTACAGACTTCATGGAAGAGAATGGTACATTCTGAAATCTTAACAATGTTTACTACAAAGTATTTCAAAAATTGAGAAGAAAATGTGTTTTCTCCCCTTCTCCATTTCTCTTAAAGGGCTCAAAGAAGGATACATTAGCATGTCCTATGTGATCTGTGGTTAAGAATGTTTTTGCTGTCTCCTGCAAAGTATGTTTTTGGACAGCAACCATTTACAGACTTTATGAGCTGGGAAGTGAATAGTACATTTTGGTTTTTTTTGGGGTATTTTTTCCAATTTTCCCCTCAATCCACTAGTTATGCCCACTCAAACAGAACAGAGGTGAAATTTCAGCTGATGAATTCATCTGCAGTGGACAGGTACCGAATTTTAGGAACGTGGTGAGCAAAAAAGCAAGCAAAACGCATCTCTCCCATTGAAAACAATAGAAAAAAAGAACCTCACCCACCAAAACACATCTTTTGTGAACCTCCTCTTATAAGCTCAGGACCCGTCTGAATTCTTTACAACTGCTTGACTGCTGCAGCTTGTTCATGCATTAGAAACCCCTCAGCATGCAATATACATAAAGACAAAGAATCCCTATCCCACTCTCACTGTCCTTCAATCCCTTGAAATTAAAAACGCACTCCAGCCTTACAAAACCACTTCACCCAAAACGGCTACCTCAGCTAAACATGAATGAAAGCTGGTGTAATCTAGTTACACGGGTGTTCTCGGGACCGGCTCAGCACTTCCTGCTTATGTGCTGAACTTCGCAGTCTGAGGTGCCAGCATCACTTGTGGTGTCATTTTCACTCACAAGTACACAAAGAAACTCTCACTGGAGCAACAGCTAAGGCCGACTCCCATGTCAGAAAGATGGTAAGTAACCATGGTTACACTAAGCAAGCATGTTACGTGGGTTGCGGACAGGTTGCGGAATAGGCTGCCTCCGAAACAAACATTGTGAATCACCATAATGACTTCAGGCGCAGACAAATTGCTTATTCTGATTACGGTGTGACTCGATAATGGGAAAATGAATGGAAAAGCAATATTTTGTGCCTTATTTTGTTCTCAAATTGTGCGTAAATAGAGCAATAACATGCATTTTAAAGCTGGAGGACATGAGAAAAAGTGGACAGTTACTTATTGATTGTTTAGTAAAATTGCAGTATAATTGGAGGTGAATTCAAGGTGATCCGTGTACTTAAAAATGACTTATGTACAGCGGTCAATGACCACGGCAACTTAGTGACATACACCTGACAAGCAAAGCACAAAATGCCATTTGCTGCATCTTTAAATGCATGGCCTTGGACACCCATATAAGTGGTATTTGAATGTATTGTATTTCTCTCTTTCAACTGTCACAGTGAGGAGCACTGGGGACTTGCCCCTGCAGGAAAAATGTCCACGCTGCAGGACGGCTCAGGTGCTTGAGCACAGCTTCTCCCTGGCGCTAATCTCACGATGATTCAGATCCTCTTTAAAAAGCAGCTGGAGAGCTCTTCATTCTCCAGTTATGAGTCACATGTTAACACATGCAGCGCTAAAATGTAAGCGCAGGACTTTTAAACAAACCCAGTTTAAAAGGTCAAAATGTCGCATACACATGCTCTGGAGGCATATTCACAAGATGTTCGCAAGTTAGTACAATTCTCAAAAAAACACTTATGTTACCTTTCAGAGTTGCCTTCTTTAACACCTTCATGGCGTAGAGCTGCCCAGTGTCCGAGCCTTTAATCTTTCTCACCAAAAATACCTGTGAAAAAAGAAACCATAACATTTATCTATGGCTAAGACAAACAAACTGCCAAACTACTAAACGAATGATTCCAACATCACCATAAAAGTCCTGTAAGCAGTTATAGGCCTTTTGAATAAGAATTTGCTATGTCAATGGGCCGTATTCTAATTCTTCTTATTTTATTTCTTTTAAAGGAATGTATTGTTGTGAAATGTGCTGTGCTTATTTTATTTCTATTAAGGGAATGTATTGTTGTGAAATGTGTGTGTGAATGTGCTGAAGTTGTATTTTAGGCCACCTATTCTGTGTTTGCCCCTACATGGTCATGTTTGTCACACCTGTTACTTGTCCTGTATAAGCTGGGTCTAATCTTGGCATCAGTCCAGCTATAAAACTGTGTCAGTCCAATGTCTTAGGGGCTAGCTGGGTGTCTGGGACCTGTGCAAAAAAACTTCACTTGTCCAGACAACAGACTGAGTCCCCTGGTATCAAGAGGGTTTGGATTCTTCTCTTTGTTTTTCACATTTTATTTCCCTCCTGAAGTTCACATATGGCACTTTGTGAACCAAAACATTATGATAATTCATTATATGACCGTTTTCCAGCTTCACTTATAGCATTGCACAGTCTGATTATGTTACTGTGCCCTTAAGACTGATATGTAAATTACCTTAGCTCTGACTGGCTGCCATGTATTGCTCCTCATGTGGACTTAAACATTCTTTATCACTTCAAAGTGAATGGATGGGCTAAAGTGCTGTACGCTGAATAGGTGGGTGTGTGTGTAAAATATGTTGTGACATCACATAAACAATTCAAGACAAGCTGTTTTTGTAGCGTAATTTTTATATCACTGCTTGAAAGAAAAACAAGTATCTCCTTTTTTGACACTGTGTGACAAATTCAAGACAAATGCACCACCAGATATGCTCCAAAATTCCTTAGAATAACATCTCTTGACATTAACTTACATTACAAGTTGTAAAAGGAATGTTTTTGCCTTCTCCTGCAAAGTAACTATATTCAAGATTTTTTTGGGCTGCGACCATTTACAGACTTCATGGACTGAGAAGTGAATAGTTCATTTTGATATTGTTTTTTGGGGGGCAGATTTTTTTTTTCCAATCCCCCCTCCTCCAATTTATTATATTCAATTCCATCTACTAGTTAGGACTCCCCCAATCACACAATACCACCAGCGCTAGGAGGGCAAAGGCAAACACAGGCTTCCTCCGAGACCTGTGAAGCGCCACTGCATCTTTTCAAACTGCTGCTAACATAAAGTCATTGGACAGCTGAACGTGCTTGGAGGAAAGCGCTGACTGCCAGTTCTGTTACATGATTGGAGGAGAGGGAGGGCCATCCTGCCCACCCAGAGAGAGCCAGGTCAGTCATGCTGTCTTGGACTCCTGGCCAGAACTCGCAACCTCTGAGATTTTAACAGTGTTTACATACTACATCAAAGTATTTCAAAAAAGAAAAGAAAATTAGTTTGCCCCTGATTTGGTCCTTTAAGAAGGACAGTAGCATGACCAGTGTGATCTGCATGCTGTAGTTTTTCCTCACCTTTCCATAGGAGCCCTGTCCCAACACTTTTAGAAGCTCAAACTGGGAGGGGTCGGCCTTCTCGAAGCCTTCTTTCACATGGTTGCTTATATCAATCTCTTTCAGGATGCTGTCGTCCTGCAAAGGCAACAGATGGTACAGATATATGTCATGTGACTGCAGGAAAACAAACAAACACTCCTTCCATACGCTCCTCTGTGTGTGTGTGTGTGTGTGTGTGTGTGCGTGCATGTACAAGAGAGAGATTTCCACTGTGACTAACAGGGGCTAAACCAAACAGGACCAGTGTGCATAACGACTGAATCATATCTATAAATACATCTGATTTTAAAGTGTGCTATATGTAATCTGCATCCATTATCTGTCACGAGTACAGGTACTGTACATGCCAGTAAGGGTGAGCACTGTAGCTGCAATAGCAAACACCTTTCTCTATGAGCTGAGTTGTTATGTAATCTCAAAAGACACTGTATGACGTACTGTTATCTGCAACTACATAGAAAACCAAGCATTCACACTTTTCCAGCACATATATCCACTTTAAATATATACACATTATGTTTTGACTTTGCACTTTAATAAATTAGAGTAAAGTGTGTATTCATAAGCATAAATAGATTCAGTATTCAGACACCACATTAAAATATACATATTTTTAACCTATATATATATATATATATATATAAAAATAAAAATAAAAAACTACACCTGGTGTCATTGTAAAAGATGCTGCCATTGATTGGAAAGATTTAACGCAACAAGTAGCAATCATGGTGAAGGTGAAGGAGCTTCCTACAAGTTCATTATTAAACATTATAAAACATAACAGAGGCATAGCAAAGACCTTTAACATCTCCGTCAGTACAACTCGTTCAAAAATATGGAATTGGGAAGTTCACAGAAGCACGACTAATCGTCCCTGGACAGGTGCGCCATGCAAGATTTCACAACACACTCTCAGACTAAATATATGGAAGGTAGCTTTGAGGGATTAAAGACCATTTGCCAAGAGGAACGTGCCAAAATTGACCCACAGGGCTGCAAAATCCTTTCTCTACCGTTGACTTCTCAACAAAGTCCTAATGTCATTCATTTGTGGTGTAATTTGTGGTGAATACTTTTTCCTATCAATTATGTTTTTTAAACCTGTCTTTGTTTATGCTTATGAACACATACTTCTTTGTTCATATTTATAAGTTCAAAGTCAAAAAACATTATGCGTGTAAATTTAAAGTGGAATATCAAAAACAAAAGTAGTTTCCTCTCTGTGTAAATGGACAAAGGCAAGTTGCAGATCAGCATCTCTGTCCATTTTCATGGTTTGCAGAAACGCCTCTCAGTGCCGCAGCCTTGGCCAGAGCAGAGTGAACAGAGTGGGTGGGGACGCTGCCATGCTGCAGACATGTGCCCAGGACAAGCATGAGACTGCCAACGCTGAGCAGCACCGCTGATTGAAGCAGGCTTGGTGAGGCTGACACGGCCAAAAGCCCTCTTAAACCGGCTTATCTCACACCCCACAAAAAATAAATAAACATAGAACAGCATTGCGTAACCCTGGATGTCCAACGAGGGCCGTTTTAACAAAGTGATGACTAGGCTGGCAAATCTGATGGACAACCTAGATACGAGAAGCTGACTTATAAATCAAACAGGCCTGTAAATATGTGGACATGGACTCAGTGGAGAAAAACTATCATCACTAGGGACCCAAAAGTAATACACTCACTACAATATGCCTGAGGGAAATATAAAAATAATTAGCACATCAGGATTATCTATAATATCACCTCACCCTGCCCCCTGCGCACACATACACACAGTGTCGGCTGCAATTAGAACCTATTTTATATTCTATTTTTAGCTCATATGGTTCTTTAATATTAACAGAATTTACGAAAATCTAAGTAACAAGCCATCAATTGTTTTGAAAGTTGTTATTGCAAACACATTAATTCATAAGCTCCTGCTGGTGTGGTTTCGTGGCAACTTGCATGCTAATAGCATCTCTGCTGGAGAAACATCAGACTCTAGCATTTGCTTTAAGTGAGCACATTTCAAAGCCATATTCATGTGCTTTCATAAATATATCAATATATATAAAAAATGTGTTTTTTGTCGTTACAGTGTAATTGCTCTGGAATTCAGCTATAGATGCATGTGGGAAGCCATGACGTGTTACAGTTTTACACCTCATCTAAACCATCAAGACAATAAAACTGTAAGGAAAATGCTAAGAATTTTCCTCAGACTGTATGTCATACTCTGGGAAACAGCAGAAGCAATGGAGAATTAAACCTACCGTTGCCTAGAGGCTCATGAATGCTCTATAATAATGTACTGTTTTAATAGGAAAAGTGAATAAAATATTGCATACTTATTATTTAAAATTATTTAGCATGCTGTTTAAAATTAAATGAGTCCTCTTTACTTCTCTGTCAGTTCTTTTTCTCAACATGGCAATTATGGCCTTTGAATAACTGTCCCACTTTTTTTCCATAGGTTTACATGGCTGTTTACATTTCATCGCTGATGTTCAAGGCCTAATACAGTCTTACCCACTTGTTGAAGCAGCCTGCAAAGACTAGTAGTCACAGATCAACTGGGAACACTATAACAGCAAGTTCTAAGACTGGACTTGTTTACGAAATAATGCTTGGACCCCTATGATTGCTATGTGTGGCTGTATTTTTAAATGTTACAAGAATTGACTAACAAAACACTGTAAAAAGAGCAAAAACTTAGGGCCTACAAAACAATATCATATGCTCATGCTGGTCCACCTGCAGACAGACATCTGCCAAACACTTAACATGTACAAAGACACCTGCGTCCATGTCTGCATTTCAATGACATCTCAATCACAAAGCAGCTGAATAATTCAGCACCGAAAATAAAACTGTTCATCACATCACAACAACCTGATCTTCAACAACAAAAGGCAAACGACAAGTCACTTGAAAATACCCAAAGGTTCAAATTAATTCAATTGCCATATCGCAGAGAATACCCGTACTGAAGACATCACAAATCCTCATGGATTTTATCTAACTAATTTGGCTCAACAGCTGCAGATTGGTCCTTCACAAAAAGCCGGGTTATCAGATAATTACATTTGATTCATATTGAGACCATCAGACCAATTATTTGGTTTTTCCTCAACTTTCTTCTGCTTCTTGGATAACAAAAAATCCAACTACACCTGATCATAATTATATATAATTGCACTGGATAATGCCTTGAAAAGAAAGCAAAAAATACTCATAATTATTTATAATTATGCTGGATAAGGCCTTAAGCCTATCATTGCTGATCCGGGAGGCCAGACAGGTTGAGAATGCGTCTTACAAGCAACGATGTTGCACAGCAGCGCATAAGAACATTTCAATGCCTAAATCAGATTAGGCCAAAGCCGAAGATTTCATATTCAACAAATGCAACTGCGCGGTGTGTCAATGAATCCCTGGATGCCCCTGGTGCAACAGAGGCTTGTGGAGCAAAGTGCGTGTCGGGGAATATTGAGACAAACGTTGTGTAACTGGCAGCAGAGCCAGCTGTTCCTCCACACACATCACGTTTTGGAGAGATGGCACACAGGCGCACGGATGAGCATACAAAAAACCCTCTCTCTATTCTTGCCCTGAGCAGGATCTTCTAATAGACTCAGTATTATGCATACATCACAAACTGTGCTGCTTTTCGCTGCCTTATTATTTCACTTATAGAAAAAAAACTGACTATTTTTTACTTTTTGGTGTTCTAGTTTTGCTTTAAACATTTCGCAACAAAGGCTTAAACTGTGTACTGTATGAATTATGAAATAATTGATTGATTTTAGGTATTTACTTTTGATTTTTTCTTATTGAAAATAACTTAATTAATAAAAAAAATTAAAAAGACTTTTTCAGGGATAAATTTGATACTATGCAACAATGAACACTTTCATCATCCAGACATGGAAAAACACACACATGCGTAATGGTCATATGTACCAACATGTTTTGAGAATACAGAAAATAATTACACTGATAAAATATCAACTTATGCTGTTGTCATATGGCAACAAATAAATTTTTTCATTTTATATAAAACTCACAGCATCCAACCTCCTACAGCTTATGCTTAAATGTGCACTGAATTATACATATGCTGTGAGAAACCCTCAGAAGATGGGCCTCACCACCTTACTTGGAAAGTTTTCATGATAAATTGGAGTCGGGCAAAAAAAAGCAGTTGTTGCCGTATGGCAACACCACGCAATTACGGCTTAAATCTAATCAGAAGTCATTAAAATATTTTTCTGTATTGCAAAAATTCAATTGCAACTTTATCTCTGTCTCTAAAACACATGCTGGAGAGCATGAGCATGTCCCTGCAAATCTGCCATGTGACGACCTGGGCCATATTACATAATGGGCTACTGATATAGATTGATTAGGTATTTTATTTCAGCAATGGGCTTTCATGTTTTGGGCAGCTAATCGAATCTAGCTGGGGACTTTGCATAACTAGTGGTAAAACAGAAGACATAATATATTGTTAATGGTCTCATAAAGACCTGATACAAATCACATAACCAGTGTATAACTGAGCAGGACAAGTATGAACAGCTGATAAATGAAATTAAAAGCATCAACTCATAATATTAAATTACTGTAAACTATGTCTATATAAAAGGCAACTTTACATGATACAGTGATAGCAAACTCCACGGCCTGAATTAGCCACAGTGCCAAATACAAATCAACAAGCAAACAGTAAAATTGGAATCAGGTGGGTCAGAGAGGACAAAGTAGTGCTTATTAAGTGCATTCATTAACATGGCAGCATGTGAGGAATGGACTGATCTAGGTCAGCAGCTGTTCAGATCAACAGGGTAATGCTGTAAATTAACCACCTGACAATTTGTACTAATTCCAAAAGAGAAATACAAACAAGAAAGAGGAGATCAGTCACTACACTTGTATCCAGCCCTATATCTGCTGATATAATGCCTTTGCTGGAGGCCAGACTGCTATCACACTGTTTTATGTATGAGCAGTGTAGTGTAATATACATAAATAAGAACAAAAATCCCATTTTGAACGCCATCAGAATAAAAGTCGGACCCAGTCGACTAA